CCCTTGGAATGCGGACTCCGAAAACCAAGAAAGACGAAGAAGAAACGCGGAGAAAGCTTGCTGCCAAATTCAGTGCAATCGGCAAGAAGCCAGCAGCAGTCGCCCAGGAGCAGGCTGAAGAGGTGGAAGTGGGCGAGGATGAATCCGACAGTGATTGGCAAAACAAGCTCGTTGTCCGTGCTGTCGAATGTGTCTATCCCGAAATAAAATTGACTGCTCCTCCTTATCCGTTCGTCCAGCGCTGGGACCAGGAAGCCAATGCGTTGATCCGCCAGGCTAAAGGCACGAACAAGAAGCGCAAGAGAAAGCAGCGGGTTCAAGTCTACGATGGCGATGAAGAGTATGACGAGGGAAATGAAGATTATCATGGCTATGAAGGCTACGACGGATACTATCAGGGCGGAAACGACAGTTACTGGCCAGGTGAAGGCGACGGCGATGATCAACTCAACTATGATGACGCTGAAGCCGAACCAGCTGAGACCGCCGATACACCTGAGGACCTTCCCGAACTCCCTAATGACGTGAACACTGTCCCTGTTTTGAACGAGAAAGAGTTGAAGAAGGGGGCAATCATTGCTTTCCGACAACTCGAAATGTCTAAGGATACAAACTGGCAGCCCAGGATGTCCGAGTACCGAGTGGCAGAAGTGATAGAGTCTCCCAACGAGGAGGGCACAATCTCTGTACGACTGGCAAAGCGTGATCGACGGCCGGCACCAGAGTTATCAGAGGATGACTACGACGAGCCCCGTCAATACGACAAGTTTGAAATGCCAGGCTTTGAAGATGACGAAGGGGAGGATGATGGCCATCGCGAGGTCTCATTTTCAGAACTCAACTACCCAAAGCTCCTACAGGCTGCAGCACACTCTGGGGCCGAATCTGGGAATCAGAACAATGCTCGAGAAGGCAGCATGTCAGTCAATTAACCTCTGATTTGTGGCTCGCGCTTACTTTCCAAGTGTCTCTGTAGTAGCAGAATCAGTGCCGAATGCCCAAGTGGCTCTGCCGCCTGACATGGACGTTGACGAAACCACCTTCGTCACCATCGGCAACGAAGTCAGCTGTATTCAATCGCCTCGTCGATCTCCTGGACTTCCCATCGAGCCACCCGCTATGGAGACCCTTGACGAAGTGACCGTGCCCCAGATTCAGGTCCAGAACGGATCAGATGAACGTAGCGTTACTCCTCCAATCCCGTCTCCTTCTTTCACGGGCTTTCACTCTGCTCGATCTTGGCAGCCAGCGACGCCAGGGTTGACTGTCACGTCTGAAAACGGCAATCTCGAGGGCCATACTCTTGTCGGAGGTGAAACGCCATCTGCCCTAGCCAACCCAGAAGAAGATCCGTCTTATTTGTCGTTTCTGTCAGCCAATCAGTCTTTCGCGGATACCTCTATGAATCTGGAGCAAGAGCCTGGGTCTGAACAGGAGCAGGGGCAGGAGCAGGATCGTCAGATTGTCAATGATAACCCTATGCCACCTGCTGAGTCTGGAGGGAGTGGTCCTCAATCTGGATCCCTTCTTTCTACTATTGGCATGAGTGGTGATGGTGCGGGTGATTCATTGGTTGCGATAAATTCGACTGTGGAGGACCATGATGTTGGCCCAACTAGCTCTGCGCAGTCGTGGAAAGATCTTCTGAATAGCTTAGGAAGAAGCCCGCTGAATTCGGAGGAAGAGGATGTGAATGAGTATGGAAGTGATGAGGACGAAGATGAAGATGAAAACAACAATGATGTAGTTGAGGAAGAGGAAGAGGAAGAGGAAGAGGAAGAGGATGAAAATGACAATGAAGATAAAGATGAAGACGCTCCATCGCCCCAGGGAAACTATGGAGCAGATGGGAGTCAAGATCAAATGCAGGGCAGTATGGAGCCCTCCAACCTCGAGCTTTACCTCGGCTACGAATCTCCATCACCATTCCGCTCGAGCTCTCCCAAGGCACCACCGAGTGCCCAGAAGGAAGCTGAACAGAAACCAGAGCAATCCCCTCCCTCTCTCCAAACAGAACCTCCAGCCGCCTCCACACGTCTGAAACTCTCCCAGCGATCCCGTGTATCTGGCTCAGCATCCCAAATCCCCGCCTCTCAAAAGTCAGAAGTGATCGATCTTACCTCCAGCACCCGTGCAACCCCCGAGCCCGAGCCCGAGGACTCTGGTGCACAGTCTCAATCTCAGTCCCAGTCTCAGTCTCAGCGCTCCAAATCCGAACGATTTAAAGAGCCCAAAGGCGACATCTCCAGATTCCTAGGTCGGAAGACCAGAGCTTCTACGGGGACGGGCCGACTGCAGCAGATGACGGAAGTGAGCATTAGCCCGTCTAGAAAGAAGCGACGGTCGTCACGGAAATTCTAGGCTCTTTTACTTGCTTCTTGACTATCTGCTATCACAGTTATGGATAACTTGGATTTTATTTACCTGTATATGCATGGATACAGAGCGACGGCGTCCAGGAACTGCACACTCATTTTATTCCCTGGATATAACTTTCTTTTATTTCAAATGAACAATTACTTGATGTACAATACTTGATGTACGTTGTCATAGATCAGGATTTGGTGACAAAACCCCGCGTATGATTGGCTGAGTGTATCGTCGACGTGATGTCATGGTATCTTGTGTATACTTCAGCTCAGTCAATGACTATTTGAGCAATTGCTGTAATACTCTGTACTACACTACTATAAGATAACAAGTCTTTCAGTCTATTTAAACATGTCCCTCAGAAGGGCATACCCTTACATCCCCAAACGCCTGTCCCAGACAAGTCGGTGTAGAAGCCATTGGGCCAGTCATCTCTCGTCATCGCGCCATACGGTCTCACCCCGCACGATTGGCTCGCATTTGTCTTTATCATTATCTTTGTCTTCTTCCTATTCTTCTTCTTCTTCTGCTTCTTCTTCTTCCTCTTTCTTTCCCCGTTCTACCCTAACTACATCCATTTCAAAACATCTATCTACATCTACATCAGCAATGGCGCAAGAATACAAATTAAAGGATCTCAGCTCCTTTGCCTCTCTCAATTTTCTGGATAAGATTGAGGTCGAGATTGAGGGCATCCCAGATGGAAAAGTCCTCCTTGTCAAGCTTGATGATAAGGTGCATGCCCTCTCTCCTCGGTGCAGCCATTATGGCGCGCCTCTGAAGAATGGCGTTGTTACTGGTGATGGCAGGATTACCTGTCCCTGGCATGGAGGTGAGTTTCTATTCTTTAATGCCTGTCTTCCTTGGGTTCTGTTATAAGAGACAGAAGGGGGGTGGCAGATTTGCGAAGAGATATAAATAACTAACCCTATATACTCCGTACAGCCTGTTTCAATGTCACGACTGGTGACGTCGAAGATGCCCCAGCACCCAATGCCCTGAACAAATTCGAGGTCTTTGAAAAGGAGGGCGCAGTCTACATTCGTGCTAGAGAGGAAGATGTCAAAGCGGGACAACGCAACCCCGTGGTAAAGTGCAGCGTCACAAAGCCTGAGGAGAAGGTCATTGTCATTGGAGGGTCAGTAATCCCTATATATCCATACCCATATCCCTTCCAAACTTATACTCAACAACATACTAACACCAAACAGCGGAAGCGGAACCCTCGGCCTAATCCAAGCTCTCCGCGAACTGAAATACCCCGGCCAGATAACGATCATCACACGAGAACCATACCTGATAATCGACCGAACAAAGCTCTCCAAAGCTCTTATCGCCGACCCAGCCAAGATCCAATGGCGTCCACGAGAATGGTACGCTGAAGCCGCCATAGAAACCCTAACGGATGAAGTGACCTCCGTCGACTTCGAGGCCAAATCCGTCTCTACAAAGTCTGGCAAGAACCTCACCTACACGAAATTAGTCCTGGCAACGGGCGGCATCCCACGCACGCTCCCACTCCCAGGCTTCAAAGGCGAATTATCAAACATCTTCACGCTGCGCGGTATAAAAGACGTGCAAGAAATCCTAGCCGCAACCAGCACAGAAGAAAACAAGAAGAAGAACATCGTGGTAATCGGCAGCTCCTTCATCGGCATGGAAGTAGGCAACGCCCTCTCAAAAGACCACAACGTTACAATCGTCGGCATGGAATCAGCCCCAATGGAACGAATAATGGGCGCGCAAGTCGGACGAGTCTTCCAACAAAACCTAGAAAAGAACAACGTCAATTTCTACCTAAACGCCGGCGTGGAAAAAGCTATTCCATCATCTTCAAATCCATCATCTGTCGGCGCAGTCCATCTCAAAGATGGAACTTCTCTCCCTGCAGACCTGGTAATCCTAGGCGTGGGAGTCCGTCCAGCAACCGATTTCCTAGAATCAAACAAAGACATCACGCTCGAGAAAGACGGCTCGATAAAAACAACCGAGCACTACCTCGTCGACTCCCCAAATAAGCACATCTCCGACTCCGTCTTCGCTATCGGCGATATAGCAACATACCCCTACTACGGTCCCGGCTCGTCAGCCAACGGCAGTCCAATCCGCATAGAACACTGGAATGTAGCCCAGAACTCCGGACGAGCCACTGCACGCGCGATAGTGCATGCACTCCACTCGCCGATCTCGTCGCTTCGACCGAAGAGATTCATTCCGGTGTTTTGGTCGGCGCTTGGTGCGCAGTTGCGGTATTGTGGGACTGGGGCTGTAGCTGGGGGATATGATGATGTTGTATTCCGGGATGCTGGGGATGGGAAGTTTGTTGCGTTTTATACGATGGGTGAGGTTGTGGTTGCTGTTGCTACCATGGGGGTTGACCCTGTTATGTCTAAGTCGGTGGAGTTGATGCGGGCTGGGAAGATGTTGGGCAAGGCAGAGGTGAAGGCGGGTGGGGATGTTTTGAGTGTTAAGTTGTGAGGGTATGAGTAATTAGCAACTAGATAAGAGGGAAAGGGAAAGGAAGTAAGATAGTATGGATTCGATGTTCAATGTTCAATGTTCAATTGCATATACACGGGTAATGGAAACCGGAACGCCCCCCAGGATGTAGTCAACAGTATATCAGTGGTTTAGTCTGTCTTCTTCGACTTGGACTTCTTTTCCTTCTTTTCTTTCTTCTCGGACTTTTCCTTTTTCTCTTTCTTTTCCTTTCTCTCCTTCTTCTCCTTCTTAGGGCTTGGGTCTGGGTGCACATCCACAACCGAAAGCTCCTCAACCTCCGCCGCCGGTACATTCATAACGGAAATAGTGCGGGTCACCTTGGTAGGTGATGAGAAGAAAGAAGGCGGCAGTGATTGACCCTGGCGCTCAGACTCGATGAGCTGATCCTCCTCCTCATGAGACAACATCGTACCCTCAATACTGAGGAACCCACGGTCCCGCTCAGAGCCAGGAATAATATCCACATCCACAACACGGAAACGAACCGAGCCACGCACCCGATGCCCAGAAACAGACTGGAAGTATCCCGAATGAGCAGACTCGTCCTCGTCCTCGCCATCAAGAGGAATCTCCTCCGCAGCCAACGAAGCAGGCTGGAACATCTCCTTCTCAGCATCGAACCCAGCCATCCCCTGATCAGAACTCGAATCCTCATCAGTCGTAGCCGGAGTCTCAGCCTCCTCGCCGGGAGGTACCCACTTCCAATTCGAGGGCAAGCGCTTGCGCTCAATACCCACAGAGAACAAGTTGAAAACAACAGCACCGAGGAATCCCTCCGACTGCACATTCACCCACCCATCCAGAATCTGCCCCCGCTTCGGACGGAAGACCAGGAAGGTAGCAGTCAAGTACACGTAGAGCACGCCGTACTCGTCCGCGGTAGTAGCGAGGGTCAATGGCTGGGGATTAGGATCGGAAGCGAGCCGTGAAGAATCGGACGGCAGACGGCTGGAAATAGACGCATTGGAGTATGCCATGACGACGCCCTTCAGCGGGGGAAAGTAAGTCAAGAGCAGCGGCGAGAGGTGCTCGGCGAGCAGCGAGGCCAGCGCGTGCGTGGGCGAGATGGAGATTGGCGACAGGGGCAGGTAGAGCGTCGCTGTTGTGAGGGTGAAGGGGGAGCTAGAGCTGGAGCTGGGGTCTGAGGGTGGTTGTTGTTGCTTGCGCTTTTTGGAGGGCGATGCGGGTGCTTCCTTCTTGCTCTTGCGTTTGCGCTCTGCCTCGGCGGTGCGCACGGGCAGAGGGTCGATATCCATTGCGTCTACTGCCATGGTGGGACGCAATTGAGCGCTCCACGGAGCTTGTGTCGATGTGGAAGGATTGGATTAGATGTGAATATCTCTTGAATCGAGAACTTTTTTTTTTTCATTTGACTTTGGTTCCAAACAGGAAGGCGGTCGGCGGGGCGGTGACGGGTGGGCACTGGATATCGGGGGCCATTGTTACAACTGGCCTGTCTAGTAGTCTGTCTTTCTTTCTTTCTTTTAGAATGGTCTATTTGGGGTCTTGGTGATTTTGAACAGCCATGTCGTCGCTTCTCCCCTTCATCGGGTGGGCTGTTCTTCCCAATGTGAGTGGATTGCGGAGCTATACATTGGCTTCAATGTGGAATGGAGCTGACCCCATGGATAGTATGCCACGTCTTTCCTACAAAGTGTCTACTATGGCATGACCATTCGCGCGGGTGAGCCTCGGCCGATCCCTCAGTCGGCCAAATTCGAACGCCATCGTCGCCGCATCTTCATCTTCGTCATCACCAGCTACCTCCTCTATACACTTTACGAGACCTTCCACCAGGTACAGGTAGCAGGCGACTACTACCAGGTCCTAGGAGTCTCACCATTCGCCGATGACCGCGCTATCAAGTCGCGGTTCCGCCGACTCGCCGCTCAGTATCATCCCGACAAAGTCGGCATCGAAGGCGAGGCATACTTCCTGTACCTGCGACGAGCCCAGGAAACACTAGTGGACCCAGTCAAGCGGTTTGCATACGATCGACTCGGATCAGACATGCTCAACTGGGGCGAGAAGAAGACCATGCGCGATTTCCTAATGGCCTCGTTGACTCGGTCGGTCCTTCCCCAGTACCTGGGCGGTTTTGCGACAATGGTAGTGTTGAACTGGCTATGGTGGGCGAATTGGGGACGCTACGTAAGTGAAACCAACCCGAGAGAGCTTGCCCAACTAACTCGTATAGTGGCGCTGGTTCACATTCGCCGCCATGCTCACCCTAGAGCTCGCCATGATTACGCGCCCACAGGCAGTCTTCATGCCTGTGGCCTACCTTCCTCCAACGCTACGAGCCTGGCTCCCCCAGCAATCCTTCTACCTCCTTCCCTTCCAGACCCTGACCCTCGCCCGCCGCGCCTCCATCATGCTGCACATCTTCATCTCGCAGGTTGCCCCGCCCGCCGCCAAAGCAGCGCCCGCCGGTGGAAATGGTGATAAGATCTCACCGCAAACTCTACAGCAGTTTGGTAAGTTGGTGCAGTTGTCCCGCGCGGTCGATGACGAGGCCACACGGATGATGCAGCTCGGTCAGGCGCCTTTCCGCGGTGACCGTGAAAGCGTGTCGATTCTCCGGCGCGGCATGAAAGAAGGGCTGATCCTCGCCGGTGTGCGGTCCAGCCCCGAGGTGCAACGGGCCGTGGCACAGGTTGTAGAACGACGCCAGGGTGAGAATAAGCTGGAGTGAATCGAAGTATACATAGCTGTGTATAGAGTAATCAACCAGGTGTTCCCTAGAGGATCCGAGTTCCGGTAAGTAATGAAAGACGCTTGGCGAGGTCGCGTAATTTCTCTTTTTCTGGTTCATCGAGGCCGAAGTGGCGACCGCCTTAACTCGTTTGACTCGTGATACTCTCACCAGATCCATTGAGAACAGGTCCACTGGGGCTAGTACTGTAGTGGCTTTGTACTGTAATTTGTAATTCGTAATTTGTACTTTGCTGGGTATGGAATGATCTCGCGACATGCGGTCAGTGAGCCATTTTCGGGATGCAGCGGGTGGAATGAGATCCATCAACGGTTTAGGGTTGGATTGTATTTGTAGATCGTAAGTGGAACTGGTTCAATACACATATGATCATTCAATGTTAGACTGTAGAATGGAGAATGGAGAATAAAGAAAGAGGAAAATAAAAAAGAGAATAGAGAGGAGGGTAAAAATAAGAATAGAATGAGAATGAGCGAAGTATAGAAAGAGTAGATGTGTACGGTCACTGTAATCTGCCCGAATCAGCACAAACAAGGCCGTAAATGACGGTACGACGCCGAAGCCTTCAACCTTTCCCCCTGCTGAACAACGAGTCGACAGTGAAAATATGGAACACGACCCTTTTCTCATCCCTTTCTCCCTTCCCTCCACTTCCACGCCCACTTTCACTTCCCTTCACCCCTCCATCCCTCCATCCCTCCATCCCCGGACTATGCTTCCATCGCCATCTCGATATACACTATCTTTACAATCCTGACGGAAGAGACACCACGTCACGGTCGTGGCCTACACACCACGTCACTTGAACGACCTCACATCCCGCTATACCATCCTCTTCCATCATGCCCGCCCCTACAAACGGTCGCTCCAAGGGAGCTAAGAATTCCACCTCCTTGACAGTGGTGCTGAAGCTGTCTGCCAGCGCCCTCCAACGGTTCGAGAAGAACCAAAATACCCCCGACATCAAGGGCCAAGAGCAGCCCTCGCCGACTTCATCTACCGAGATCCCCGCTGTCCGACCCTCATCCGCCGACAATGGCTCCGACGATGCGAACTCGACACCCGTCACGGGGGCAACTCCAGGCGACACTCCACGCCGGAAGGGAGTTCCGGGTCCTAAGCCCGGCAACAAGAGAACAAACGGTCAAACCGAACCCGGTGCCAGGTCACGGGGACGCCCAGGCCCAAAGAAGAAGCCCAAGCTGTAAGCCAATCCATTGTCTATGCCTTCAATGCCAAGAACAAAGCTGACATACTACTCTCTCTACAGTGAGGAAGGAGGAGACACCGCGAAGCTCCCTGCTGCCCAGCGCCTCGGACCAAAAGCCAACACGGGAGCCATCAATGCCGGCCTGCGCGCCCTCGACCGTACCGGAGCTGCATGCCGCAGGTGGGAGCGCAAGCCCCTGCAGCTGAGAAGCTTCACAGGTATCTTGTGGCAGCTACCTTCATGGCGCACGCCGGGTTCGGGCAAGTCCGACACCTTGATTGACACCAAGGTAGCTGCCCTTGAGAGTGGTGACAGCGATACCAAGCCCACGCTCACAGCCCCGGGCACCGACACACTCAACGGGAGCAGTGCCGTACCCAGCGAGAAGAGCAATTCCGGAGACGGCGACGTCACCCCGGCTTCTCATATGGTTGAGCCTTCGTCGCCGGCTATTGCGATGGCGGTGTGAGCTTGTGCATGTTGGCATAGCTTTGTGCATGTTGAGCACACGTATGCACGTGAGCACGGTTCGGATTGTTCCTGTGTATATTAGATTCCACGGATTGGTATTTTCTTCGGGTTATGTGGCTTTGGTTTGGCGTTCTGGAATCGGCTTCAGGCTTTTTATGTCGGCGAGCAGGCCGAGTCGGTTTGGGTTGTGTTTTGTATCATAGCACTTATTGGGACTGGTATTCTTTTATATGAGAATATTTCTTGCTCTGAGCATACTTATTATCTGTGTATATGTAGGTCGAATAGGTAATTTACATATTCACATTGCCCATTCGCATTTGAGAGAATCTTCATCAAAACGGTCGACTTTAAACTCTTTCTAACTCACTTATTTGGCCAGTTTCAAGCGAGTTTTAAAATCTGATACATGTACTAAAGTAAGCTTGGCGTCTAATAACTACTATTCCTCTAGCTAGCACAGTAACAACATTATACCCTTGGAGTATAGCGAATATGTACATGTAGCCGGATGTACTTCCCGTGTACTTCCAAGTAGCACAATATAGGAAGGTCAGAGGGGCTCGTGACATCTCCCCTCTTCTTTCCGATCACTCTGGTGTATTTCCCTTTGACTTTTGACTCTTTCTATCTGGCGAGATCTTGATTTACGGGATGTAAGATCAGCTGGGCTGCTTTCGGATCTATCAGCCATCACCACCCATATTCCACCACATGTTTGCATCTCTCCACGCACATCCTCTCTGTCGCTCATTCTCTCCGCTTGCGACTGCCGGGTGACCTCACTTCCACGCACTTAAGCCGAGCCCTTTTTTCTGCCACGCACGGAATCACGCACGGCATAGCACATTTTAAAACCCCCTCAAGTGTCAAGTTTCAACAAGATAACAGCGGATCGGCCAAAAACGGACAACAGAAGTGACTTTGGTAGCGTGGCATTTGGGGGGCGACCTTGGGACCCGCGAACATCATGACTGATGTGCCCATCCCGCCATCCGGTGGAGCTCGAGCTTCATACCCCATCTCCTCTATTCCACGACGCTCCTCCTACGCGTCTGTAGTCTCCGGCAACGCATTCTCACCCACCTCCAGCTCCTTCTCTCACCTCCTCAACGACTCCCACCCAGTCCCCTACCCACTTTCCGACACCCGAGTCCACCGGACTCTGTCCGGCGTGGATGCAGACATGCAAATGAACTCCGCCTGGAGGAACTCAGGATCGCCAGACTTGTTGCCACACTATTCCCGCAAGTATGCCGGCTTCCTACGCTCGACGGAATTCCCTCCAAGCCTAGGCCTTAACGACGGGCCGGGCTTCGTGACCCCATCCTACCTCCGCAGCTCTCGCTACATCGCCCGCCTCGAGACCGCTCATCGAGCCAAGATCGCTGCTCAACAGCGAGATGTCGCCTCGTCGGCTTCGGCTTCCACTTCGAATCCGCCGCTCTCTGCTTCCTCTAGCAATGTTCACTTGCCCCGCATGGCGCCGTCCCATCGTGGAATGACCTATGAGATCATCGAGAAGGAACCGCCCGCCACCGATACGCTTCAGCCGCTGCCGACGCAATGGAGCTCCGATGATAAATGCTCGGCTCTGGAACTGTCGAATGATAGTCTTGATGTTCGCTATGCTGGTCCGGTGCATAAACATGATAATGAAGCTGCCGCCCTGCGCACTGATCACCCTATGCCGCCACAGTGCGGGATCTACTACTTTGAAGTGAAGATTGAATCAAAGCCAAAGGAGGGGTATGTTTTTTGTGTTCTTCGTTTTCTTGGTCGTTACTAATGTGTCTCTAGCATGATTGGCATTGGGTTTTCTAGCCCCAAAGCGAATGTCGAGCGACTTCCCGGCTGGGAGCAAGAATCTTGGGCTTACCATGGTGATGATGGAAAGTCGTTCTTTGGCGAGAACCAGGGTACTGGCCGAGCATATGGTCCGACCTTTGGTGTTGGTGATACTGTAGGATGTGGTGTTAATTTCTCTACGGGGGCTGCATTCTTCACCAAGAACGGTATCTTCTTGGGTATGTTCCCACTATAACTATCGTGGCTGCATTATATTGACAAAATAGGAATCGCATTCCACGAACTCCGCAATGTGAAGTTGTATCCGTCTGTCGGAATGAAGAAACTGCCAACTGTACATCTTAAAGCGAACTTTGGACGGGAGCCGTTCATTTTTGATATTGATGGCATGGTTAGGGTATGTGCTGCTTGGTTCTGTTTGAAAATGGCATGCTAATTCTAAACAGCAAGAGAGAATGGCTATCCAATCGGAGATCAACGCTACAACCACGACCAACCTTCAACCACCGCTGGACGAGTCAACATTGCTGCAAGAACTAGTAGCCCAATTTCTGGCCCACGATGGCTACGTTGACACAGCCCGCGCCTTCGCTGAAGAGGTCGCCACTGAAACAATGGCCTTGGAGAATAGTCGCAGCGAGCCACTGAAGAAGTATGAAGTGGAAGAGGACCGCGAAGCCATCAACCGGAACAGTAAGCTACTCTCCAACCTCACAGTTCGTATCTAACACTCCCCAGAAATCCGCTCCGCAATCCTAGACGGCGACATCGACAAAGCCCTCAAACACACAAAAGCCTACTACTCCGACGTCCTAGAAGACCACCCCCGCATTTACTTCAAACTCCGCTGCCGGAAATTCCTCGAAATGATGCGTCGCTCTAATGAACTCTCCGCCGCAACAGCAGCAGCAGCCTCCAAGCAACGCCGCTCCACATCCCCAGCCCTCTCCCACGAACACGCCGTCTTCGACCAGGAAATGGAACTCGACGACGGCGACGGCGACGCATGGGCCGATGGCATGGACACAGAAGAGCCTGAGGCTGTCGCTCAATTCAATCAGCTCCTCACCGAAGCAGTCCAATACGGTCAACAGTTACGTCTCGATTATCCCTCTGACGATAACGGCGGCGACAAGAAATTACTTGATGATATCTTTTCCCTGGTTGCATACCCTGATCCCAAGCGCTCCGTTCATGGCCATTACCTCGATCCTTCTGGACGGGTTGCTGTAGCGGAGGAGTTGAACTCGGCTATTCTTGTTTCATTGGGCAAATCCTCTGCTGCAGCCCTTGAACGGCTATACCAGCAAACGGAAGTGCTTGTCAACGAAATCAGTGAAGACGGCGGCGCTGGGGCGTTTATTAATGTACGCGATGACATTTTTCTTTAGGCATGTTAGCGATTAGGCTAGGATAGGCTTGGTTCAAGGGTTCCTTTTCTTGTTTCCTTTTTTCTCCCTGTTCTCATTCTTTCAACTTCATTTTCTTTCTTTGGCTTGTCTCTTTACTTATGAGAAAGCAAGCTCTGGAAAGCAATTGAGAATTGTTCGACTTTGGGTTTGAATGATATCCTGGTTCGACCGGGCTTTGACATAGATTTCTTTAACGTAGCTTCTTGGTCGTTTTCGAGCGGGTTTTTAATGGTCTGGTTCTTACAGTCAAGCAGGGCGCCTAATCACTACACGTGGTCTTTCTATAGCTCGCTAGGAGCTATCAATAGCATTAAGATGACAATATTGCGACGTTGCGGTGAGTATCTAGCTGCATAGTTTAGTATGCTTTGCGCGGCGTTGTTGAACTTGAGGTTATAACCTGATCTCCCGTCAATACCAGGCGATGACTTTTTTGCCTTCTTCTTCTTCTTTTTTTTTCTTCTTCTTCTTCTTCTTTCTTTCTTTCTTGCAGATTGATATCGATATCCACTTCCCCCCTTGCTGACAATTATCTTCCATACAACCGCTTTTCTTCGTTAGAAAATTGTCATACCCAGGATATGTTTTTGTCTTGGTGCTCTCGGTCTTTCGGTACCTTTATATGCACTTGACCAAATTGAGTATTGTATGTCTCCATGTATTTCACACCAAACCTCATCTCAGGTACAGGTGCATACTCAGGTTAGGCATAAAAGTGTGATCGCCGTTCTTTGATACTTTGATAGGCTGCGAGATAGTGGGCCTGTAGGCTTGGCGAGATTCTTTCTCGAGGCGCATCCTTGACGAGAATCAGTACTTCAACCGTCACACTGAGAAAGTAAAGCATCTTGAATGTCCCCAACTTCCTCACTTAGGGTTGACCGAGTCACGTCCACTCCCGAACCTCATCTTACATAATCCAGGAACCGCCCGGGGCGAACCGCTTCTCATCTCCAGCTTCTCCGCTTTCTAGGAACATCAGTGATACCTGAGCTGCCAGAGTTGCAGGTGTACTGATGATCTGGTGGTCTCTCTGGACATTTTGCTCCCCCAAGGGGTCACATTCTCATGATGGATTCCCATCCGCATAGCTCGGTCTCGGGCCTCAGCATTCCAACCCATTCAAGCACCTCCACCACCCTGCGCTGCTGCTGTGGTCGCAATGACTGTGCCCTGCTCGAGCACAACAATGTAGCCCTCGAGGGCTTGGAAAAAGATCTCGAGACTGCTGCGAGGTTAGGTCAGGTACGTTGCTTTTTAAAATTTCAGCCCAAATATATGCCGGCGTGTGACGCCAAGTGAGTCCCGGGCGAGCTGTATCGTGCATGTTTGATACATCATTTCATCATTCCTTACAAAACACTATCTCGGTGCTTTTGTTCATTTCCCATTCTTCATTTCCTTTGGTCTACAACTTGATCTGTTTCACCTCATTGCCTATACATCACATGGGATCAGTTCACCTGATCTTTGATCTTATGGACTCCTGGTCGCGGTCTCCTATCCTTTCTCTCTGCGTTGGCGTCCGTCATGACTTCTTTCCTCGATTATGCTGCGAAGGCAGATTGCTTCGGACCGTCATCGCTGACCTTTGCTTTACAGGCCTTGCTTCACCGCCATGAAAGTTACATGGCTGAGGCGGAGGAGGACCGGCATCGCTTAGTCGCCAGCATCGATGACCTGGAGCGCGAAAGGCAAGAAGTGCAGGCCGAAAACGCGCGCATCATCGAGGAGAATCGCAGTTTACTGGAGCAACTCGATAGCTTGAACAAAGCTGTCGCCGAGTCTGACAGTTATGCCAAGACTCTCACCTCGAATCTGGAGAGCACGCAATCCGAATTGCGCAGATTGACGGCTGCTGCGGCGCGTGCAGCCGACCTTGAGGCGCAGCTTGCTGTTATGGAGACGGAGCAATCCAAGTTACAGGAGAGTCTTGTTTTGGCCCACGAAGACGAGCAATCGGCAGTGCAGCGATGGAGGAAAGCCGAAACAACACTACGCGACCTTCATGATCAGATCGACCGCATTGAGAAAGAAGCGCGCGAAGAGCGCGAGCGACATACCGAGGTCGTTGAGCGTATGGAGCGCAAGAGAGCCGTAGAACGTGAGCTTGACAATGCGGCGGGCCGTCTCAAAGGCGCTGCTGCCGCCTCCGAACTGAAGCGCAATGCCGGTGGCACGACTGTGGTCTCTCGCTTTGTCAAGGACATCTTGCAGGACAACGCCAATCTACAAGTCGGTATTATGGAACTACGCGAAATGCTTAACACCTCGAACGAGGAGGTTCAGAACCTGCGGGATCAAGTCCTGTCTCATCATCCGCTGGCCGGTGTTGATGAAGAAGATAACCGCGAAGCAACTACAGTCACAACGTTAAGCGAGGAACTCGAAGCGAAAGAAGAACGCCGGGTATCTCAGGAATTCCACATCCACCATCATCATTACCACACACCCGGAAAGAAAGAGAAAGTCTCGATCAATCGTCGCATGAAAAAACGACGGCCTGCTATAGGGAGCCCGGTAGCATTGCACTCTGCGCAGGCACAATCGCCTCGAAGGACCCTTCATCGGTCCCAGTCATCTGGTTCATCCATGTCAACCATCCTATCCCACACTTCCGTCTCCATCCCACCACAATCACGCCGCTGGTCATTACAGTCACATGCAGCGGATTCACTGGCAAGCTCTCCGCAGTCTGCATTCCGGACATCGTCGATCTTTGATCGCGTTGAACGTGGTGCTGAATTCTCTCAAGCTACCAGCCCCGACAGTACAGTGTTCTCCTCCCCTGTCATGGGAGCAAGGAACTTCAAGGCTCTTGATATGCCATTCCAACCAATAGGTGACTTTGATAATCATGATTCTCAAGACGATCTCTCATCATTTGACGATGATCTCTACCGCCGCCAAGACTTTTCCAACACCGGTGACGTTTCTAGAGAGCCCGCCATCCCAGAAGAGTCCGAGCCATCCCCACAAGGACCTTACTTCCCATCATCTACACGTCGAGAATCTTTAAAGAATGCCGACGATGATTTCTTCAGCATGCAGGCACAAACCTCATCACTTCGCAGATCCACATCCCATGATAGCCTGCTCTCCGTCTCTGTAGCGGGCATGGACATCCACACACCGAACACCCGCCACATGCGAATGGGCGACTGGCACCCTGGCATGCGAATCCCCCAACGCATCCTCTCTCCCAGCGTCGAATTAGTCTCAACTCCCCCAGTCATCTCCGCTCCGGCCATCATAGCCAACCGCTCAGCGAGTTCGGGGCATTCATCCCAGTCATTGCTTGCTTCCATGGCTGTTGGCAAGAGTAACAAGTCAACCGATGCATCGTCCATCACATCTGCAGACAGCAACAGCACAGCTTCAACCGCAGCAACTGGCCCTCGAAAGGCAACATTAGGTCGGCGCGTAGGAGGCTGGGTATTAGGCCGCTGGGGAATGTCACCCATTTCATCCGATGGCGAAGTTGATACCCCAGCGCAAGATCCATCGATCGAGTCTACACCAGCACCAACGCCAACCCCAGCACCTCATACGCAAGCACCGAAATCCCCCGACCCTATGGCTCTCCGCTTCAGATACCCAGGCGTGAACCAGAAGGGTCCAATTATGGGTCTCCGTCCTCCACCCTCTGCACCTATTTCCATTCATGCTCAAGGCATAGATGAGAACCTATTGCGAGAGAGTCTAGCCGAAGAAGATGGCTAGATTTTCCAGTAGGGGTTATCTATACTCTACATTTTCTTGTTGTTTAGCGACCACACTCGTTTTAATCTTGCATTTCATATATCTATCTTGCATTTACTTTGGTTTTATAGTTGCATTTTATTGGTTTCTGGTTTTGGATGGCGTGGTGCGAGTGCGACATGATACCCATGCGTTCCTTTTTTGATTTCTAGATATGCCTAGATGAGGCCATTTCTCACTTTGTTGAATTGTGCAGGTGGTTTTCTTCCAATGATCTAATGACTTGAACTGATTGTGATTAATGTTTCATTACTATTGTCCACTTACAAGATGGTCTTGAAATAATTGATAGAGATACTTTATGGTTTGTACACTCGTTGTACACTAAAGCAAAAGTAACACGACCGCTATTTATGGTCATTTGCATGATATCATATCCTCTATTCATATTCGTTACCTCATGATATAACCAAATGGCAGTTCATTTCCGCGAAATTCGATACGTCCGGATGGGGATGCTAGTCGAATGGAAGAAGCCTGTTTGATCCTGTGACGGAGTCGACTCGAATGGTAGGGTTTCAACATTGAAGTTGTTTGTTTCTGTGGAAGTCAGCGGGTTACTGGCAGACACAGTATGACCATTGGCCCAAATGACTAGATTATCAAGACTTACCACATCCATTCAAGAACGTGCGGAAGGTATCCTCGTTGCGCAGTGTTGCCGCAATGATGAAATGCTCAATGTGGTAATTCTCAAAGAGATCCCGTACGGTAGACAATAGCAGAGGGATGATGTCGGTATCATAGATCTGAATGTATTAGATAGATCAACTCACAAACGCAGAGAGAGACTTACCAAATCAGCACCGAGCGCAACATCAAATTTGATACTCTCGCCCTCATCCTCACCAGAAGCGAGCCCAGCAAGGTCTCCCGTCCGCTCAAGTGGAGTCCCCCACTCCCAAACAGCAGGATAGATAGGAATAGACCGACCATTGTCAAGGTTATGCGGGACACATTCACGCATATTATCAATAAGAGCAGGCTCCCGATCCGTAACAACAACACTGCGCACACCAAGATAGCGCGCACAAACAAGAGACAGGAATCCCGTGCCAGCACCGAGCTCAATAACCCGCTTATTGCGCACAATGGCCTTGCCAGCTTCGGAAGCCAAGAACGAACCTAGATGCAGGGCAGCTTCCCAAGTGCGGAATCCGGTCGTTCCAGCTGAGAGGATGAGACCGCGGGATTCAGAGGTGATGACTGATCGCTCGATGTTTGCATATTGGGTGACTGACCCTGTTTCTGTTTTTGTTTCGGCTGGTGCTGTGTATTTGATGAAAGATAGCTGCTGCGCCTGCTGGACGGCGGATTGTTTTGGCTGGGCTACCAGTTCGGTCCAGCATTCCATGAGATCATCGTTGATCTCCTGTTGAAGCAATATTGGATGGGATGTTAGAGAAGTGGGCCATCAATATAACGGGTTTGCATTGCAATGAAGAAGTGGATGTACATGAAGTGGAGGGGGAATTAGAAAAACACAAAAATGGTAAGAAAGAAAAGGTCAATGGCAATGGGTGTGCATACATCCTCCTCAGGGTCAGTTATTGATTCCTCAATGCGTGAGAGAATCAGTTTCAGCACTCGGCTTCGGTAGTTGGCTGGCGGGATAGGAAAGACCGTAGTCTCATTGAACATGCGCTCGTATATAGCTGCTTGAACATCTGGCTGGACCAGTACAGGACCTGGTGGAAGGGCCAAGTGCTGCAAATCCACCAGCTGGAAGTACTGCGCAGCTAATTTGCGAATTGAGCCGGCCATGAGTATGATAATTTGATATTGAAGAATACCAAGCGCAAGATATCATTGGAGAATGTGATGATGAGTCAGAAATAAGTCAGCAAGGGCAAGTTCTGCTGATTCAGCAGTCTGGTCTGCCTGAGGCTTCAGATTAGTCATGGGGGAGAGGCAACTTCCCCGATCGGGTTAGTGTCTACCCTAGCCGAGCCCACACCACACGAAAATTGAAAGTTCGACATCCTCAGTGACCCCGTCGACACTTCCTCCATCCAACACACACCAAAATGGCCGACGCTCCCGTTACTCTGCGGACTCGCAAGTTCATCCGCAACCCTCTGCTTGCCCGTAAGCAGATGGTCGTGTAAGAATCCCTTTCTCCCCCCCTTGATTTTGGAACTGTGTGGTGGAATCATCGAAAAAGGCGCGCGACAAGGAAATTGAACAACCACACAACACCAGACAAAAGAGAACATCGAAACACACAATGCAATCATCCAGCGAAGAAAGCACCGGTCTGACATCTTTCGCGAATTTCTAGGGACGTCCTCCACCCCAACCGCCCTAACGTCTCCAAGGACGAGCTCCGCGAGAAGCTGGCCGACCTGTACAAGTCCAACAAGGACCAGGTCTCCGTGTTCGGTTTCCGCACGCAGTACGGTGGTGGCAAGTCCACCGGCTTCGCTCTGGTCTACGACTCCGCCGAGGCCCTGAAGAAGTTCGAGCCCCACTACCGTCTCGTCCGTATCGGCGCCGCCAACAAGATCGAGAAGCCCTCCCGCCAGCAGCGTACGTCCATCTATCCGTGCATTGTTTCACGAAGCACATTCGCTAATTCATTCCACAGGCAAGCAACGGAAGAACCGCTCCAAGAAGTTCCGTGGTGTCGCCAAGGTCAAGGGCCCCAAGAAGAACAAGGACTAAGCGCATCGCTGATCTCTACCACGAATCAACATGGACCGATAAAGGCGGCATGCGATGGGAAAAGATTACGTCGGTGGTGTCTTTGGCTCTGGAGTTTCCCACCTGGATTTGGAATGATTACAGGTGCGGTCAGGTGTGTGGGGGGAGAGTGGTTTAAGTCTTCTCTTTTTCGGCGAACATCAGACTAAACCCCAAAATGATGCCCGTTTGAATGGTGAAGATTACAGAAACTCTTTTTATTCCTGTGCTGTTGGAGCTGGTGATCCCCTGGAGAAAAAGCCTGGCGATCCCCCGGATAAAAAGGGCGTCAGTGTTGTGGTTTCGTGTGTATGTTTTTTTGGGGTCATCGGTTCAATTCAAGGCAGCCAGGGTTATGAGAATCCGGGCTTCGACCCGGGATGAAATCACATTTACTTGTTTCTCTTCAATCTGGTTGTCGTAGATGTAGATGTCCGATCCCGTATTGGCTGAGCTAATCTAGGTGTATATCTTGCATACCCACCGTAGTTTGCCCTAAGTTGAAGGTAAAGTACACCCCGTTGACTACAGTGTATTCCCCAGGACAAGTTCGTACTCGTCTCCTCCCTGTCCCCCATGCCATCCAACTAAAAAGAGATACTTCTCAACTATTCTCCAACAAAGTCCTGATAGCGTGTATTTTTCTACACATACTGATCCAAACCAGCAACCCTGCAATGACATGAACACATTGTATTGGAATTTATACTAAGTAAATTCAACAGCCAAGAATTCAACATTCCAATTTAAAAAGGAAAGACATCATACTCAGTTCCTTGCTATGATTTCACTGTAAATGCAGCGTCTAAATTCCAAATCATGGCGTTTAGACAGGGGAAGGCTATGGACTCTGCTAGACATGGGTACGTGGATGTGCGTGTCGCCCTCGGCTCGAGCGGTTGTATAATAGCGGTCGACATGGGACAGATACACAGGCTGACTTTTCTCTTTTCTTGGTTTTTTCTTGTCTTTTCTTTCTTTCCTTTTCGTATCTTTAGCTACTATCCTTTCTTGGTAACTTCTTCTGGGTAAAGAAGTGAGTGTGTATCACCTATTTCTCCATATATGATTGGACTTGACTTCCCCCGGTTTTTACTTCCTAACTACACCGGACTGTATGTACATGTACTCTAAGCTATCCTCCGATGATATACTGTATTTACTTGCCACCTTGCAAGACATGGTCATATCGATTGAAAAAGAAACCTCCCTATATGGTCTTGGTGCATGTACAGTATGTAGCTTATGATCATGGCAGGGTTGTATATATCTTTGTATCACTTTTACTTTCCCCCACTCCTGAAATGACGAGGCCAGACAGATGTCTATGATGAGGGAATGGGATTGACATGGGAGATATGTGTTATTCTTGCTTTTTACCTTGCTGATCGGCGGCAGGAACAGGTATGTATATTGCTATGACTCTATCATTTCATCATGGTAGTCCTGATTGTGATAATGAGGTAGATAATAGGGCATCGTGAAAATAACAATATGAGGGAAATATGTTTTGAATTCATCGGCGTTAGTCACTATATTGAATAACACCCGATCAAGCCGGTGCAGTTAGATATAAGAATGAAAAATCGAAGTACAGCTTCAATCCCAAGTCGAACAAAGCCACCCTCAGCTCCTTGCACGCGAGACATAAAATAGACTAGAATTAAAAAGCCACACAGCCTGAGTATTCCGATACAGATATCAGATATTAACCAGACTCAACGGTCAAAGAAGAAGAAAATAGAATAAGATTTCCACCGAGTATTAAGAGAACAGCATAAGACAGAAGCATAAATTCGAAGCAAGGCAAACAAACAACACAAGATAGAACCCACCACGCAAACAAGGCAATTTTTTGAGATGTCCTTGCACTGTTCCTGTTTGCAGCGGACTTGGGTCTCGACTTGAATGACAGTATGGGTCCAAACAAAGGACAAGAAAGAAAGAAACACAACAAGACCAGCCTAACAAGACATGAAGCGACAGAAAAGAAAGATAAGAAAACACATTACATTGAGCAAGGCAAAAGTAAGGGCCATATGGGTATCTCTTTTGTGTATCTTAGGGCAAAGAAAGAAAAGACTAACCAAGAGAGGACCAACCAAGAAAGGAAGGAGAGAAAGAAACACCAACAGAGCAAGAAGAAACAAAAGAAAACCAAGTAAAACAGAGCAGGGCAAAGTCCTTGTGAACACCACTATGCTAAATCCCAATGTCAAGCATAGATATACGCCACATCCTCAACAGAAACGACGAAGCAACTAATAAGCACCCCGATGACCCAAAGGCGAGATAGGGTGCCGAGTAACACTCTCAACACGACCATACTCAGGAAACGGATCAGATAACAAATCAAAAGGCAAAGCCAGATTATGTTCCGGATGCCGAACCCGAGTATAAGTCAAGCCATTCATAAGCGTCGGTGCCGAGCAACGAGCATCAGCATCCGCACCCGCAGCACCACGAGCCTTGCTCTTTTCACCACTGCTATACCCATAAGAATAATGCGAGCAGTCAAACGTCAGAGCAAGGAGACGAGAATTGGCGCCCTTGTCACGCGAGAAGGTATTGTTGCATGCTAAACGGCCATCGGGGCCATTGCGGTATTCGTCTATCGTGTCAAGGACTGGGTAGAGGGCGTTGTTGCCAGCCGCGGATGAGGGGATGGATGCTGCAGCTGGTGGGAGGGGCGGCAATGTATCCTCTGTCGTGGCCATGGGAATATACCCGAATGTCAAGTCCGGTGTTGGGGGTCCAGTTTCTGAGTTGTTGGCTTTGACGCGCGGGCTGGTGTAGCCGTTGCTGGCGACTGTTGGCATTGCCATTCCTCTTGCGTGGGAGCTCCAAAATGAGCTCTTTGGATCGGTAGCCAGTGTCATGCCTGAGAGTCCTTCGGGGAGGGTGGGCAGTGTTGTGACGGGGGCTTGAGGCTGGGTTTGTGATTGGCCTCTACAGGTTGAGGGCGTGGGAAGTGTGCGTTCTACTTCAGAGAAGGATTGGTTCACTCCTGATGACTGGGTCATGTCGGATGATATTTCTTGGGGAAGGGTGAAGCCGTAGGTAGCTTGTGCTTGGGCTTGGGATATACCAGTTGCTCCTTGGTCGAACAAGTCACCGTTAGATGGTGTCCGCGCGCCCCAGGTGCTGTAGTCGACTATCATGCCCCCGGTGCTGGGTACCATGTACCCTGATGAGGCCTGGGCGTAGTAGTTGGACTGTTCGTCGTAGTGGACGGAGCCGTCCATGGCCATGTCATACTCTCGGTACGGAATGCGGGCTTGGGAGTCCATGGAGACGAGGCTTTGTCTTCCGGAAGCTTGGCCTGTGTATACTCCATAGCGAGCTGAAGATGTTGAAGGGAGTCTTGCTAAACGCTTCTTGATCTCCTCTGGAGTGTCGGAGTGAACCTAGGAACAGGTTCAGTCAGTCATCTTCTTTCGGCTACATACACCGGGCAACTTACTCGCATGTACTGGCATTCGGTTGAGCCAACACTACGGCAGCTGGAACAAGCCAGACCGTTGTTGAGGTCGCCGTTGCACTTGATCTTTCTTTTCCGGCATCGTGTACACTTATGTAGTGTTAGAAACCAGGAAGTTTTTAGTAGAAGAGAAACCTCACTGCGACCAGGGCTCGCTTTCTTTGCTTTCGGGGCTTCTCTTCTCGCTCGACATTGCGTTCTTGTTTAATCACGCGAGCTGATCGAGATCCAGAGAGGCTATTACTCCGGGCTTCTAGCCCTAAATTCTCATATGAATGATCCATTGCTGAACAGTTAGCAGAGAAGAAGGATAGAGAGTCTAGTCTCACTCACAGGAATGTTCAAAGGGAGGTAGGCTAAATATGAGAAAAAGGGAGAAAGAGAAAGATGCCTCTGGGAGATAGGGCTCGATTTAAGCCATGTTCTAGTAACAATCGGTGTGATTGCCTTAACCACTTGCCCCTGTTTGTTTTATTAGTATTTTGATATTTTGATATTTGGATATTCCTGTAGACACAGCTGGTACGCACTCCAAAAGTACCCTCTTATTTCTTATTATTTTACTAATTTCCATTTCCCGTTTCCTGTTTCTTTTCTTTTTCTAAGGGGAAATGATATGCAAAGTTCCGCGTCCAATCCAGATTCCCCGGTGCCCAGAGATAGCATGAAAGACCAGCAGGACTGCCCCCGGCATTTTAAAGTCTCTGGTTTCACAAGGTAACGTCACACATGACCTGCTGGAGAACAGGAGAGTGCTCCGGTAGGCAATGTTTCAGCCGATTTGGGGTCTTTTCTTTCTGCCAGAACCTGCCCAAGGTGGAAAAGAGTCCCCTCCTAGAGGGATTGGGATTACAAGAGTCTGTACTCTGCACTTCTGCGGAACATCTTCATCTTTCCCCGTGTAGAATGGAAGAAACGGGCAACTGCCGACCAACTGTTTGCAGAGAGAATCCTGGTGCCGATCCGGGGGAAGAATGTCCGGCGTCCGGTGAAGATCTGAAATGTTTGCTCGACAGTCCAACCGATTGGTGTGGCTGCAGCTCTCTATATCAAACACTCCGAACTCGTTGAGTCGTTAAGCCATGGTCGAGGTCTGGAACTCTTATGGCAATGTGTTGGATCTGGCAAACGCATGGGGTCCCAAAGAAAGAGAGAGAGAGAGAGACAAAAAGGAAGCAAACGCTGTCTCAGGCAAATGTCTCAGCAGAAAGAAACGAAAAACATTAATGACACCTGTCACTTCACAAGCGCGAGAGGTTTCCCTGGACCAAGCGCGCTCTAGGGAGAAAAAATGGCAAGGATCCACGATCTAAAAGTCTGATCGGCGCCATGGATGTTGTTGATCAGGGTCGGCTTTTAGCGCTTCGGCAGCTAGATTAAAATGGAAGCAAAAAAAAGCAATTCAGCCCAGAAAATGGGAGACAAAGAAAAGAAAAGCACGTATGTGATGGATCCACTAACTTGACATCCCTCTCGGATCTCGATCGAAAAAGGGGAGACCCATGATGCGCGAGATTCTGGGATACTTACAAGATCGTTTTGTTTCGTGTTACCGATGGAAAGATAGAGAGAGAGACATGAGAAAGACAAAGAAGCCAGATCAACAGGTTTCAAATACTAAATCTGGGCTCTGGGAGCTATTCTCGGAGCTCCAAGGTTTGACAATGCACGACATTCGGGGGGAAGTTAGGAAACAGCTTGAAGAGTCAAAAGAGGCTTCAGCTGACTCGCCAGGAACGCATGTTGGGATTGAGACCGGGCTCTGACTGGAATGACCAGATCGAAGAGGCTGGCTCATTGATCTTCCACGTGTCTGGTACTGTCCAGGAGATGTTGGATGCAGGAGGCCGCCCGTTGCTCCCCAACGTTTCTGCTGTGGAACAAATCAGGGGGTGGGTAGAGAGAAGAGAGACGGCCATGAACTATGATCTCTGGGAAGAACGAGACGGGGAAACTGGAGCTGTCACTGTTGACGAGCATGCCAAGAACAGTAAGCCCTTGGTCTTTTGGCTTGGCCTGCCGCTGCATGAGGGATATAAGCCAACAAACAGCTCCCAGGGTCAGAATAATAAGAATCTGCGTGACAATCTAGAAACAGGTTAGCCGCCAACGGGGACACTCGGAAGATATGCTCGATTGACATGCACCGTTGCACAGGTACCCAGGTGGATCATCCGGAGCTTCTCAGCCGGATAGCCAGCTGTTTTCTTTTTCTAGGAGGCAAAGGTGAAGGGAAAAGTGAAGGGAAGAGTTGATACATAGAGGGAGGCTCTGTCTTGGCGCTGTGTCATTGGTCCAAGCTCGGTCCCTTCGTCTTGAACTTTCAACCTTCACCAGTCGACAAGCCAAGTATGAGTGCGCTTTTGGAAACATCGCTGGGCGACATCGTGATCGACCTGTTGGTCGACGAGTCGCCCAAGGCGTGTGAGAAGTAAGTGGCTGCTCTCCTCGGTCTTGCTCGTGCTGCACATGAAACTAATGTGTTTGTCTCTAGCTTCTTGAAGTTGTGCAAGCTCAAGTACTATAATTTCTCGCCAATCCACAGCGTCCAGAAGAACTTTACCTTCCAAACTGGCGACCCGCTTGGTCCTGATGCCCCCGAGAGCGATGGAGGGTCTTCGATATGGGGTCTGCTGGACGGACCGTCGAAGCGCACGTTTCCGATCGAGGTACCGCGCAAACTGAAGCACACCGAGCGGGGCACAGTGAGCATGGCGACAGTCCCCGCGACCAATGACCCTGAACAGCGACTGGCGGCAAGTCAATTTATCGTCACACTGGGAGATAATCTGGATTATTTGGATGGGAAGGCAGCGATCTTCGGCAAGGTCGTCGAGGGCTTCGATGTCCTGGAGAAGATCAATGACGCTTTTATCGACGACCGAGGTCGACCGCTGAAGGATATTCGCATTCGTCACACCACAGTCTTAGACGATCCCTTTGACGACCCGCCGAAGTTAGTAGAGCCGCCCGAGAGCCCAGTGCCCTCCAAAGCGCAACTGGCCACTGTTCGAATCGCAGATGATGAGGAACTGGATGATGATATGGATGAAGATGCGATGGAGAAGCTGCGCCGTGAGCGCGAGGCTCGCGCGCAGGCATTGACCCTGGAGATGGTGGGAGATCTGCCTTTTGCCGATGTTAAGCCGCCCGAGAACATTCTCTTCGTCTGCAAGCTCAATCCAGTCACACAAGGTTTGTCGCGCTATTTCTACAGGCGAGGAACTTGCTAATCAGAATACAGATGAGGACCTGAACCTAATTTTCAGTCGCTTCGGAACGATTTTGTCTTGCGAGGTTATTCGGGATAAGCGCACCGGCGACAGTCTACAATATGCATTCATTGAATTTGAGGACCAGAAGGACTGTGAACAGGCCTATTTCAAAATGCAGGGTGTCCTGATTGATGACCACCGGATCCACGTTGATTTCTCACAGAGTGTAAGATCCTCCAAGTCACCTGTTCTACAAAATTAATCACGCTAATGCATCGCAGGTGTCCAAGCTGTCCGAGAGCTGGCGCAACGCCACCGTCACCAAGCGGCGACAGAGAGGCGGATTCGGTGGCGTGGCAGATCTTGAGGCGAAACGCCAATACCGAGAGTTCGACGACACCCCTCGAGATGAAGATGATGCGCGATACAGGATGGTCTTTGACAAGCGCAATAAGGCCAATCCGCCTGATACTCCCCGGGATACCAACCCACGCGATTCCCGTCGAGACCAGCGAGGTAGTCGCAGCCCTCGTGGACGAGATCGAGATCAGGATCGATACCGTCGTCGGTCCTACAGTCGCAGTCCACGGAGGGACAGAGACAAAGACTCGCGAAAGAACCGAGACCGGGAACGAGGTCGTTACGATGATCGCTATCGCCGACGACGAGACTAGGAACCCATGTCTATATGTATGAAATGTAATGCAACTTGGCTGAATGTATGACTTGCCCCTGTGTAGTGTACTCTGTCCACTGTAGAAACTTGGCCCCGCTCGATAGTGGGTAGGTCTCACCCGGGACTCGCTAGGTCCTTTCGTGTCTTTGGTCCTGGCTATTATTCGCCTTTGCAGATCCCTAAAAATAACCTGGAACCCACGGGGGCTGCGTTACATGTTAAGTGTTCCAAGGTTGTTACGGTGAGGGAGTACATAATCAGAGCTTCCCTTCCACCCCGCAGCTTTTATTTACTTTTCCCCTTTGCCACCTTTCCCTTCCTCAACTCTTATTTTCCTTTTTCCTCTTCTCTCCTATATCCACACATCATGGCCGGCGTTATTAAAGATGCCGTCTCGAACGTGCTTGGTAAAATCCAAGGTACCACCGGAGAGACTCCCCGCGAGCCCTCGGCCGAGGAGTTCCAAACCCTCCAAAAGAAGTATAACGACGCCGGACAAGGACATGTCTTCGCCTTTGTCGATGAATTAAGCACTGTTGAGAAGTCCCAGCTGTTCCACCAGCTGTCCAACTTTGACCCCACCCGGATCAACGAGCTGGCCGACAAGGCTCTGAACCCCCCCAAGGCCGAGCAGGCCGCCGTCACTCTCGAGCCCTTGCCCGACGTAGCCACAGCCTCCATCCTCGACTCCGATCCCTCAGATCTCCAGAAGTGGTACAATGCAGGCCTGAAGGAGGTCGCGGAGAACAAGGTGGCGGTTGTGTTGATGGCTGGTGGGCAGGGTACCCGGCTCGGCAGCTCCGCCCCCAAGGGCTGCTTCGATATTGGTCTTTTGAGCGAGAAGTCGCTCTTCCAGCTGCAGGCTCAGCGCATTGCTAAGCTCCAGGAGCTGGCTCAGAAGGCCAATGGCGGTGCCGAGGTTGTTATTCCCTGGTACGTTATGACCAGTGGGCCTACTCGCAAGCCCACCGAGGAGTTCTTCACGCAGAACAACTACTTTGGTCTCAAGGAGAGCAACATTATGATCTTCGAGCAGGGTGTTTTGCCTTGTATCTCCAACGAGGGTAAGATCATGCTCGAGAGCAAGGGCAAGGTATGTACCGTCTAGCGTTGAAGTTTGAAGAGTGATTTTCTGACATATGTATAGGCTGCCGTTGCCCCCGATGGAAACGGTGGTATCTACCAAGCCCTCGTAGTCTCAGGTGTGCGCGAGGACATGCGCCGCCGTGGCATCAAGCACATCCATGCCTACTGCGTCGACAACTGCCTTGTCAAGGTCGCCGACCCCGTGTTCATTGGATTCTCCGCAGAAAAGGATGTCGACATTGCCACCAAGGTGGTGCGCAAGCGTAACGCCACTGAGTCTGTTGGTTTGATCTTGCTGAAGAACGGCAAGCCTGATGTCGTTGAGTACTCCGAGATCGACCAGGAGACCGCCGAAGCCAGAGACCCCAAACAGCCCGACGTGCTCAAGTACCGTGCTGCCAACATCGTCAACCACTACTACTCATTCCGCTTCCTCGAGTCTATTGAGAACTGGGCACACCAGCTGCCCCACCACGTGGCCCGCAAGAAGATTGGCTGCGTGGACCCCGAGACGGGTGACGCCGTCAAGCCCGAGAAGCCCAACGGTGTCAAGCTCGAGCAGTTCGTGTTTGACGTGTTCCCCATGACCCCGTTGAACAAGTTCGCCAGCATTGAGGTGCGCCGTGAGGATGAGTTCTCGCCCTTGAAGAACGCCCGTGGTACCGGTCAGGACGACGCAGATACCAGCCGGGCAGATATCATGGCCCAAGGCCAGCGGTGGATTGAGGCTGCAGGTGGTGTTGTCATCACCGAGGGTGAGGCTGTTGGTGTTGAAGTCTCCCCTCTGATCAGCTACGTATGTTTCCCTCTCCTCTCGTCCCCTCTCCCATATCTTGCATTTTATCATTTTACATGTTTGAATGGTGTTCAGCTAACAAGTATACAGGGCGGTGAAAACCTGGAATTCCTCAAGGGCCGTGAGATCAAGGCCCCTGCCATTCTGGAAAAAGAAGAGTAGATTAGATGAACTACGGATCTCTCGGAGACCTGACGAAGAAATGAATTGCATTGTCATTGCTGTATAGACCAGGTTACAGAGAATGTAGGGGTGGAATGAAGTATAGAAGTAAATAAACGTGAATCGACCTTACGCAATACGGAAAAGCCCGGGAGCTAAACCGTTTGACGAGTTTGCATGACCTTTTCCACTTTTTCACTCTTTCTTCCTTTGTGTGTTTGATATTCATATTGATATATCACTTGGTTGTTGAGAAGTGGTTGAGAAGTGTGAGTTGAGTACGTTCGATTTTGACGTCTTCACATTTGTGCGTTGTGTTCCACTTTTTTTCTTCGCGATTTTCGGAGTCAACGAAGGTGTTTCCCCTCCAAGGTTCTCAGAAGGCTGACAAGGTCCCGATAATAGAAAGTTTACGTACCGAAGAGTCTTTCAGCAGGTGGGTTTGATCCTTCGAGTTTGCGTTGCGTCGTTTTGTCTCCGCCGATCTACGTCTTCCCCCTCTTTCGATCCGATTTTTTGGGCGCAAGATCGCAACGGGTATATAATGCTGCGGGCAGGGTTCGGATTGCGATGATCGAACATGTTGCTATTCGAAACAAGAGAGGGAATCATCGACTTTGCTGCAACCAACATTCGACAGATCCGCGATGGAGGGGAAGACGCTTATCGGAGCTATGCGGCTATATCTCGACAGTGGGCTGACGATGGATAGAAACCGCCCACAATGATGTTGTCTCGTCGCGCGTGCTACAAGTGTGGCACTATTGGCCACTATGCCGGTTAGTAGGGAGTATCCTGGTCGTGTGGTCTATACTAACCCCTCGGTAGAGGTCTGCACTTCAACTGAGCGTCTCTGCTACAACTGTACGTGAATGCCTTGGATCTACCCTCTGATGTGAATACATGCTAATCAATTTGTTTCTACAGGCAAGCAGCCCGGTATGTCTGACCTTGAATTATACCCCGCAACTGCTCCTAATCGTTCATATAGGCCACGAGTCTAGCGCCTGCCCTCTTCCCCGTACCACCGAGAGTAAGCTACACCTCGAATCCATGCTCATTGAGAATTCTCAATTGCTAACATCCATCCAGCCAAGCAGTGCTACAACTGCCAGGGCCTCGGTCACGTCCAGGCTGACTGTCCCACCCTCCGTCTGAACGGCGCCAACGGCCGCTGCTACAATTGCGGCCAGCCCGGCCACCTTGCCGTAAGCCCTCCAATGATTGCATATCGAACTTCGACAGTGACTGACCAACCCCCAGCGCAACTGCCCCAGCCCTGCTGCTGCCGGTGCCGGTGCCAACGCCGGTCCCGCTGGTGGTGCCCCTACTGGTCCTGCTGGCCGTGGCGCCGGTGGCCCTCGCGGCGGTTTCCAGGGTAATTTCCGTGGTGGCTTCAGCGGCTACCAACGCACCGCTACCTGCTACAAGTGCGGTGGCCCCAACCATTTCGCCCGTGACTGCCAGGCTCAGGCTATGAAGTGCTACGCCTGCGGCAAGCTCGGCCACATCTCGCGTGACTGTACCGCTCCCAACGGTGGCCCTCTCAGCTCCGCCGGTAAGGTCTGCTACAAGTGCTCCCAGGCTGGTCACATCTCCCGCGACTGCCCTCTCAACGAGGGTGCCGCTAAGCCCGCTGCTGCTGAGGCTTCTCCTGATGCTGTTGCCGCTGTTGCCCCTGTTGCCGCCCCTGTGCCCACTGCTGAGCCTGCTGCTGAAGCTGCCCCTGTTGTGGCTGCGGCTCCTACCACCGCTGTCGCATAAATTGGTTGACAGTGCTTCTCTCCACCGCGCATCCTTCCTCTTGCGGGAATTTCTAGTTACCTTTTCTTCCTCGGTTCTATATTACGGTCACTTTCCCTGAACCACGCTCCTTTCTCCTCCTCCTTTTCTTCCTTTGCATATATTTAAACCCGCCCTCTTATCTCTGAGGTTACCTGATTCCGGGTCTGGGTCTGGTGTCTCGGCAAAAACCAGCTATTGAATTTCTTCTTTTTCTTGTCAACTTGGAATTTGCGCTTTTTCCTTATGAATTTTTGCTCTTTTTTTATTTTATCCCTATCATGTATACGACGAACAAACAGAAAAAGTTATTTCCTGTTTTTGTTTACGAAGTCCCTTCTGACTTGACTTCGCTCTCAAGTCTTACGATTGGCGTCCTATTGTTCTCTTACAGATTATCTTTCTCGATTGGTTCAATTCGATCGACTCTTGGTTGCGGTTTTCCTGGATGAGGCCAAGGAGAGGAGAGATGAAGAAGTATGGCAATGACAGAGAGAATGATGGAGATCTGTGAAGCTGAGAGGAAAGCTTGGACTCGGGGAAACGTTGCGAGTGGAAGAAAGGCCCTTCTTGGGAAGAGTCCTCGGTGCAGAGAACATTTCAAGAGTCAAAATGAATCATTTCAATTACTTTCTCTATTGTAAATGTATTTTGCAGAGGTGCAGAGGTGCAGTGGTGGTAGCTGGGAGCCCGTGACTTGGTGCACAGCTCCAGCTCTCTCGTTCCTCCATACCCTCCCCATCAACCTGATCCATCACTTTTGATCATTTGATCTGATCAAGATGCCGGGTTCAGTGGCAAGTGATGAATTCGAGGGCGAAGAGGTACATTCCAGTCCCAACTCCACGCACACCAAACCTAACCAGCCCTACTACCTCACTACAGCTCTTCATCGTGGACATTGACACTATCCAATCTCATGGAATTGGCGCAGCCGACATCACCAAGCTGAAAGCCAATGGCTTCCACACTGTTGCTGTCAGTTCCTGAATCCATGCCATGGGGATGGTCCAATGCCTCTATCCGTCCAACTAATCAATATTATCCAGTCCGTCCACGGCGCCACGCGCAAGACACTCCTCAAGATCAAAGGGTTCAGCGAGGTCAAGGTTGAGAAAGTCAAGGAAGCTATTCAGAAATGTCTGGTATGCTGTCCTCTACTCCTGGTATGATGATACTGGAGTAGCATCTAACCATAAACCCTAAAACAGCCTTCTGCATCTGGGTTCATCACTGCCATGGAGCTGCACCACCAACGCAAGAGAGTCGTCCGCATCTCGACAGGCAGTAAGCAATTCGACTCTATCCTCGGCGGGTAAGTACACTCCTCCACTCTATCCCATCCATCCATTCATCCGCGCCACAGGTACTAACAAAACCCCAACCAGCGGCTTCCAAAGCATGAGCATAAGCGAAGTCTTCGGCGAATTCCGCTGCGGCAAAACCCAACTCTCACACACAATATCCGTAATCGCCCAACTGCCCGTCGAGCTCGGAGGCGCAAATGGAAAAGTCGCCTACATCGACACAGAGGGTACATTCCGCCCCGAGCGCATTGCCCAGATTGCAGAGCGGTACGGCGTCGATCCAGAAGCTACGCAGGAGAATATTGCCTACGCTCGCGCGCTGAATAGCGAGCATCAGCTTGAGTTGTTGAATACGCTTAGTCGGGAGTTTTCTGGTGGTGCTTTTCGGTTGCTTGTTATTGATAGCATTATGAATTGCTTTCGGGTTGATTATTGTGGGCGTGGGGAGTTGGCGGATCGGCAGCAGAAGTTGAACCAGTTTTTGATGAAGCTGGCGCATATGGCTGAAGGTTAGTTTGCTGTTGATTTTCCTTTGGAGTTTTGTTTGTTTGTGGGAATGAGTGCTTACTTGATCTTTGCAGAGTTCAATGTTTGTGTCTTAATGGTGAGTATTATCCTATCCTCGTTCCTGTTTGGCATGCTGTATTCATATCTTACACTGCTTGCTCAGACAAACCAAGTCCAGAGTGACCCCGGTGCCAGCTCTCTCTTTGCTGGTGCTGATGGCCGCAAGCCTGTCGGTGGACATGTTCTTGCTCATGCTTCTACCACTCGCGTGCTTCTTCGGAAGGGTCGTGGTGAGGAGCGAGTTGCCAAGATTCAGGATTCCCCTGGTACCTTTCTTCACATTTCGAGGCTGTGAGCTTGTCTAACTTTTTGACAGACTGCCCTGAGCGCGAAGCAATCTACATCATTACCAATGGCGGTATCAATGATCCTGACAAGATTTGAGGTGGTCTCAACGGTATGGGGTATTGAAGGAATTATCTGAGATGATTATTTTCGAGACAATCCCAGCTGGATGCTGATGGATTATACAATTAGTTCAGTTATACCATAAATTGTATTGTTAAGGTCCAAAGGTCGGATGGCAGCCCTAATATAGAGTTCACCGCCTACAGCGCCGCTCTGGCAACGCGGCAAAATTCTGCAAAACTGCAGAAAAAGTTCCATTCAACCAACGCAACATCCAGCAATCAGCCTCTCATCAAAATGAAGGACGCATCCGTGGAGGTGGCAGGGTACACGACCCTGCCCGTGCAGCTCCCCGCCACACCAACATTCCCCAAGCCCGCAACACACTACCTTTACATCCGTCCCCATGAACCCCGAATCCCAGACCCAGATTCCACCCGCTCCCTCTTCCTCGTCAACGTCCCAATCGACACAACAGAAGCCCATATCCGCCACCTCTTCGGCACACAACTCTCCGCCGGCCGCGTTGAGCGAGTCCAATTCGAAGATGTGCCAACAAAAAAGCGCACAGCAGCCGCAGACACCGACACAAACTCCAACAAAAAGAAACGCAAGCGCGTAACAGCAGACGACTACCAAACTTACTTAGACGACATCAACCTCCCTTCAACCTGGAACCGCAAACTCCAAAAGAGCGGCGCCCACGCAATCGTCATCTTCGCCGATAAACCCAGCATGGAAACCAGCCTGAAAGCCGCCACAGAGGCCGCCAAGCGCGGTACCACCCTCGTCTGGGGCGAGGACCTGCCGGCAGACCGCATCCCCGCCCTGGGATTGCAGCGGTACGTCGCGCACGAGCGCCTCCAGTATCCAGACCGGGGCGCGCTCCTCCGATCCGTGAACGAGTTCATGACTACGTTCGCGGCGGTGGCTGAAGCGCGCAAGCGCGAGGAGTCGAAGCGATTGGCAGAGCCGGACGAGGATGGCTTTATTACAGTTTCGCACGGTCCTAAGTTGAATTCTGTTGCTAGGGAGGATGAGATGAAGGAGCTTGTTGAGAGGCAGAAGAAGAAGGCCGAGGGTCTGGAGGACTTTTATCGCTTCCAGTCGAGGGAGAAGAGGAAGGAGAGGCAGAATGCGTTGCTTAGGCGCTTTGATGAGGATAAGAAGAAGTTGCACGAGCTTAAGGCGCGGAGGGGCAAGATTCGGGTGAGTTTTCGTTTGCTCTTTTCTTAACTTGATTTTTGGGGTGCTAACTTTTGATACAGCCTGAGTGATCTTGTGTGCATGATAGCATGGCGTTTTGGGAGTCTTTCGTGGACAGGATAAAAGTTTCGAGGTTTCCTGATGTACATGTGAGTTAATTGCTGCTTCTTTGCATTCTTGGATTGTTCGCTCTAAGGATGAGTACGCTGGGGCCATATTAGCAAAACGCACTTTGTTCGCTGTTATGCTATGACTTTAAAAACCAGCATATCTACAATCTTCTCACCTTCTGATATGGAGCTTTATATCTTGCTTTCTTTTGCTTCTGCTTCTTGGTGTTGCATTTGCTGATGTTCGATTGAAATAGGCTTAGATGAATACGTACATTCTATCTCAATAACTATCACATTATCTATGGATTGAATATGTTCAACATCAACTTATTGACTTTCGCTTGAGTCATGTAGAGATTCTGGCTGTCTGGTACAGTACTCCATTTTGCACCCTTTTTATCGATCGATTAAATATGTCCCAACGTACAGCAGAGCCAGCATTATTGGAAAAACTGTTCTGTAGAAATGTCGCTATGTACCTTGCGTATATATAGCAGGGCTCGCTCCAAGGGGACTTACTAATTCCGGGTAACTAGTAACTTTCCTGGCTCTCTCGGAAGAGATGCGGCTGGAAATAAAAGGCTGCTTGTGTGGTTAGCTCACTATACTCGAGTTAAATATCATAGACGCAAGTGAAACAACGAACCGGACTGAACCCATACGTAATTGTAGAGTGTGTAGGTAGTTGGATATCCCGCACAGACCAAGGCTTGGCATTACATCCCACCTCTGATCTGAGTATAAGATCTGAGCTATACGTGCACAGGTGTATACCTTCATATGAGACTTCTCTTGCATATCCAAAAACAGCTTGAGCTCAGTCTTCACTTGATTCAACCCTGGTTGTTTGGACATTGGAGTTCCTCAGAATATCTCCTCTCGCCGTCATCGACCCACCTCACCACAAAATATCCAATAATCCAGATTTCACACGCCTTCTCCCCGGGATTCAAAGGCCCGTCAACATGTCACCTGTCCTACTTCAGGACGAGCCTGACTCGGACGAAGATGTCGAGTTTGAAGACGTCCCAATCCTCCACCAAACCAGTACCCAAAACAGCGAAAGAACCAGGAATGGAGATATCTCCATAGATCTCCCCCCAGTCCCAACCCAGCAATGGAACCCACCACTATATCTCCCGCCACAGCGGACTACACCCATCCCCTCCGGCTCAGAGGAAGAAATCCAGCTCCGCGGCCGGTTCAGCACGGGTATTGAAAAAATCACCTATCGCAAAATGAAATCTGACATGGGCATGGATGCCCCGGATACACCTGTTTCCTTACGCAGATATGAGGGATTCAAGGATCTTGTAGTTGATGTGGATAGCCTGGTTGACATGCTTTGGGTTTCGGCAACTCGTGAGTATAACCCTTCTCTCCTCTTTTATTCACATCTACGATTATTTCTATATATAAAGAAACTATACAACTAACAATCCCCCAGCGGCAATTCAAACCGAGACCCTCATAACCCTAGCAGGCCTAATCCAAACCTCCTTAAAAAGCTTCCCCTTCGACCCACAACCAACACTAACAATCCTGCACAAACTGGACTCGATCTTTGCAGCATTATGTACTGGAACGCACCCACTAACGGGTGCCGCTCTTCCGGGTGCTCAGATAGGTCAGTCGCTCGCAACGGAGACGCAGAAGGTCCGCATTCGGAGTTTGGCGGAGATGACCCGGTATGAGGTTTTTTCTGCGTTGGGGGCTTCTAATCAGGAGGTTACCGGGGATGGGGATGATGATTACGACGATGATGTTGAGGATGATGATGAGCCGTGGATGTTGGAGGCTACGCAGGTTTATGAGAAGAGTTTGATGTTGCTTGCGGAGCAGGATCCTGGTGTGGCTGGTGATGATGGTGATGTGGGTTGTGGACTTTGAATGTAGGAGGTTTGTATTGGGATTGGATAGGATATTTTGTTCGCATTGAGTACTGTAGGAGTTTCTGTTTTGTGCTATAGGATAGTTAATATTGTTGCCTATGCCTGTGCCTGACTCTATTTATCTGATCTGGGGCTGTATAGATTGCTGAAGAGTATATTTTTAGAAGTCGACGTAGTGCAAGAAGCTCAGGCCATTGGATGCAGACAAAAGTCCCACAGGGTTAGATTCTACTGCATACTCGGTACATATATAGACGGATACACATGTGTCTTCTAGAAAGTTCTATATTTATAAAAGAAAGAAAAACCTGAAACCCGAGACCCGGAAAAAAAAAAAAAGGAAAGAAAAAAACAAGAATGTAGTGGAGTCGGGCAGGTAGAATGGCAGCTCACCAGAGTCAGCTGAAGTAGTACTGTAAGACCAGTGTTTCCATACCTCGAATTCACGTAACAGTCACTCGCAGTCTTAGCCCTCTCTTTGGACAGAACAGCCCGAACTAAGTGGATATGAGCCCTGAAAGTGGGGAAAGCTAGTAGTCCTGGGGGCGATGCTCAGCCTCGGGCTGACGGTTTCTACTGTACTATACTGTGCTTTGACTCCTAACAAAGAAGATTGGGCTTACATGTAGGTTTGGAGGTGAGGTACAGTATACGATATGCGGAATATCAGGCTCTTATTTCCGATGGTGGGCACCCAAAGACCTTGTTCCATGGTTCAAGGGATTAATAATCTACAGTACGTGTATACAATGTTCATCTTACTGGAACTCAGGGCATGCCCTATCCCCAGAGTGTGTACAAACGGACACGCTAATACAGTACCGACAGTGTCTCACCATGCAAGGGCTTAGCTTATTCTACTCCCTTGCACCTTCATCGTATAGAGAACCAGATCTCCGGAAATACCATACAGAAACGCGTCGCGTACCGAGTGGAAAGGCGCTTGGCACATGAAATCTCTGCGGGTAACGGGTAATTTTAATACGAGCGCCCATGGTTCCCTTTTTATTATTCTACAGTGACGTATGGGAATCAGGCTACTTCCTTACATCCTTACATGGATTATAGAACCTTGCTTCGAGAAGAGGCTGCATACTTCAGGACCTGCAGGTGCAGGGGTGGGTGAAAGGGAGTACAGTACTGTAGTTCCATGGTTCGATGCTTGTGTGGCGGGGCTCATTTGATTTGTATAATATATTGTATCAACGAATTACATGAAAATGTTAAGCTACAACCTTGTTAGCTCCCAACTACGGAGTAAGCAAGCTTAATTCATAAGTTATTAGGTACCCAACTATGTCTCGTATAGGCACTTTCCCGGTACCGACAAGCGAACATTACATCAGCGTCGATGACGATAAGGCCCACCACGAACGTTGACAAGTCACATTGCGAGGAGGGCGACAGGTCCTTGCAGATTTCATGCATTGGTCCCCTTGTATCAGGTACTATTGGGTGTCTCTCACCGAGATTTGGCTTGGACTAAGATCTGGTACGGATGGGGCGGAAGTCTTAACAGTTGATGTGCTGTAGAATCGGGGTCGTCGGAAGTCACCCGCATATGCATGGGGTTCTAATAGTGTAACTGTTTATATAGTTAAAATTGTAGTAGCTAGTTAGTATAGTTATATAGTTATAGCTATAGCTCAAGTATAGATAGTTACTGAGGCAAGGACAACCGAGTGTAGAACCATGGGTCCAAATACCATACCTCGTATTACAAATACCCCTGTATCAGTAATTTCGCACTTCCCCCTCCCTCCAAGATTTCGTTTCTTCATTTTCTTCTTCCCCTCTCCATCCCCCTCTTTCCTATTGTTCGAAGATCTCGTTTTTCGCGGATTTTGCTTTAGGGAGTTGTGCTTGTTGCCGATTACTTGTTTTTGCGATCGCATTTCTAGTGTTTTCGCGATCTGCTTTATATTAGGTGAGTGCAAGCCTCTTTCATCATACCCCGTCTACCTCATACTGCTCTGCCTCTGCCTCTGCCTCCGACCTCGACCTTGACCAGGGAAATGGCGATGCTCCGGTCGCACCGCACTCTTGCGCCTATGACAAAGCACCCCGGACCGGGTCATCTGAATCCCCGTTGAGTGTGAACGGATCGGTTGCATTCGGACGTCAGACTGGATACGGAAACGGCCGGCGCATAGCCTTCGCCAGCATCAACGAATTGAGAATATACCATTTTCGTCTTGCGCATCCGATTTCCTCGCTCTGCCGTTCGTCTGCGGCCGATCCACCCATCGATCCCTTCCGCGAATGCTACCCGAAGCTCTGGTCTTGGCGATTTCCGGTGCCGCTTTGAGGCTGAAGTGCTGAAAGGACTTGCGACCTTCACATTTTCTTCACTGTCTTGGATTTTCGCGTCTCTACTTTTTTGATCTCAGCTCGACTATGATTTCTTGTCTTGTCGCATATCAGTTTTTCTCGTCTTATATCACTGCTTCAGCCGGTTTTTAAATTGCAGCGAAGAAATCTAACATTCATTTCAACCCAGGACCTTTACGCCCTCCTTGCCTGGCTTATCACGAATTGATCTAACGCCGGTCTTTCTTTACGACTCCACGAAGTTCTAGTCGCTTTGATATTTAACCTTCTTACGTCGACTTTCGGACTTTGATTTTTGCTGCAAAATGTCGTTCAACAACTTCGAATCTTTCCCTCAGCAGGATCCCGCCGCTGCTGGCGCCCCGGCCCCCGTTGACACCACCATGACCGGTCAGGCCGATCCCTCCGCCGCTCAGTTCCAGGGCCCCGCTCCTGGTGAGCCCAACGCTGCCCCCGTTCCCCAGCAGGGCGCCGATGGCAAGACCACGCTCTGGATGGGTGAGCTTGAGCCCTGGATCGACGAGAACTTCATCCGCAATCTCTGGTTCCAGATGGGTGAGCAGGTCAACGTCAAGATGATCCGCGACAAGTTCTCTGGGTAAGACACTATATTCCTCTTATGTGTTCGGATATGTTCCTAATGTGGGTAGTAGGAGCAATGCTGGCTACTGCTTCGTCGACTTCGCCTCCCCTGCCGCCGCTGCCAAGGCCCTTTCTCTGAACGGCACTCCCATGCCCAACACCAACCGGGTCTTCAAGCTCAACTGGGCTACCGGCGGTGGCCTCGCGGACCGCAGGTAAGCAGGAACCCCCAAAATTGGTATTTTCACCTGGTACTAACCTTCAATTAAGCCGTGATGACCGTGGTCCTGAGTACTCCATCTTCGTTGGTGACCTCGGCCCCGAGGTTAACGAGTACGTCCTCGTTTCGCTGTTCCAGAGCCGTTTCCCCTCGTGCAAGTCCGCCAAGATCATGACCGACCCCATCAGCGGCATGTCCCGTGGCTACGGGTTCGTCCGTTTCTCCGACGAGAACGACCAGCAGCGCGCCCTTACCGAGATGCAGGGTGTCTACTGTGGCAACCGCCCCATGCGTATCTCCACCGCTACCCCTAAGAACAAGGGGCCCGGTGTTGGCAACGGTGGTGGTATGGGTATGCCCGGCCCCGCTGGCATGTACCCTCCCATGGGTGGCCCTCCCATGCCCTTCTACGGTGCTCCCCAGCCCATGAACCAGTTCACCGACCCCAACAACACCACTGTCTTCGTTGGTGGTCTCTCTGGCTACGTCACCGAGGATGAGCTCCGCTCTTTCTTCCAGGGATTCGGCGAGATTACCTACGTCAAGATCCCCCCTGGAAAGGGCTGCGGTTTCGTCCAGTTCGTCCAGCGCCACGCCGCTGAGATGGCTATCAACCAGATGCAGGGATACCCCATCGGTAACTCTCGTGTCCGCCTGAGCTGGGGCCGCTCTCAGAACAACTCCGGCCCTGCCGGCAGCCCCTACCGCCCTGCTCCCCCGCCACCTCCCATGTACCCCTCCATGGGCATGCCCCCAGCCCACCAGTATGGCGGTTTTGCCCCCATGAAGGTGAGCAGTCACCCTGGCAGCCCGATCCCGGATCATTCTTGAAGCAGGCGGTCGGCTGACACAACTCTCCAGTGAGCGTTTCCTTTGATTGAAATCACCGGCAGGAGTTGTCTGCGCCATTCAAATGACGGGTCTATTGTGTCATAACAAATTAGTGATTCCCTGGTTTCTGCCTTCAAGGCTATAGCTCTTGATGAGCATCGTGTCTCCTGTGCTACGCATTTCCTTTTTACGTGAGCGCTATTACCTTAGCAAGATCTGAGCTTTGCCTTTCCCGCTGATCTGTCTTGTTCTTATGTATCTCTTTTCCCCATCTGCGCTCTTTCGTATCTTATTCTCCCCTTTTTTTTTACCTTATTTTCGATGTCTCTCTGCCCTTATGCTACTGGGGTTCTAAACACCCCATGGGTCTTTGTCTGCGTGTAACGGAAGTCCGAATTGTTCATGCGCTTCTTTTTCCCTATACTCCTTGGGCAGGCATTCTGCGAAAAGTTCCATTTCCCCACACTTTTTTCATTTGTTCTACTTTTTTTTTTTTTCTTTTTCTTTCAAGCAGCTAAATTGAATTATGTTCGCTTTGAGGAATGTCGCGTTGAGCTTTCCCCCTTTCCTTTCTATTCCTGTTAGACTGATGACGGCTTGTACAACACGCTCTGTTTCGTGCGCCTCAGCGTTTGTCGTTTCTAAATTTCTTGGTGTGTGGTATGCAATAATGTCGTGCGCTCGTTTGATGTCTTGCATTTCGTTGCTGCCGTCTCCAATCTTTCTTTGGTCTGTTTCTGTCAGCTCTTTGCTAGCAAGTTGCTGAACTACGGCCTTGTCAAGGGCTGGTCCCATGGAAAAAGATTCAGCAATTTCGAGCATTTGCTCATGTAGTATGGAGCCTCTCTGGTTTGGCGCTTCGTTGGCCTTTTGCAGTTAGTTTTGGGTCTCTTCCATCTATCTGTCTCTCTCTGCTTCTTGTCCGTCTTCGATGCTGTCAGGGATCAATCTATCGGAATACTTTACATTCATTTTTTAAACTGCCGCTTGTAATTTCTTTTATATCATGGTGAGAAGGTTGGCACTTGGTGTTAGCAGACGTTGGTTTCTGTCCTCTTTCTCTAGACTGTTTCCCTACCTGATTGTATCTTGATTTTCCCCGCTAGGGCTTGGTTTATTCTGTGGCTGACTTGCGCTTCATAGGAGGTAATGTCTGTCTCGAATTTTCAATTTCAGAAACGCTATGGTAAATCTTGTTATGCAATTAATAGAAAGATGTTGTTTGGTCTTGGATGGTGTAATTGCCGATGTAGAGGGCTGAGGCATCAATGGAGTTGCACCTAGGTATGGTATATTGAGGTACTTCCTCCCTCACGACTCTCCGTTGTTTACCCATGTACCTCCGGGCCTTCTTTCTCTTCTTTCCCCGAGCCTGCACAGCTTCGGTTGTCGTTGTTTCGCACCTTCTCCCCTTCCACCCAGGCAGGTACATGCAGACAGTCATCACTGTCACCTTTTTACCTCATCCCCTTCACTTTATTAACCTCATTTCAAATCAGGTTTGCCTCCGTTTCAAGATGCGCTACGGAAACTGGGATGTGCTTCTTTTCCCGGAGCTCTCCAGGGTGCCAATCCAGGAGTTCAAGACCCAATGCTTTGTGACCAAGGATAAGGACTCGCCAAACCTGCACAGTGCCGCATACCATAGCCCTCACACATATTATCCTGACCCGGCCCGTTGCAACCAACTCCCTGTTCTCACGACCTTCATCCCGAGTCTGCCTCAAGACAGTCGGTTCCGGGTGTCAGTGCACAGCTGGGAGAAGCCACGTCCTAGTCTCTCGATCGAATCTCACATGGAGCCAGAGGATGTTTTGCTCTTTGAAGCTCGCATCTATGTGGATGGTGCTTTCGTTGCGTGAGTATTCGATCCTTGATATTTTCCGTGGACTGGGCTGAGATCTGTCAGTGGCACTATCTTCGGGCAGAGAACTGATTGGCCGCATGTTATTGGTATGTGCTATATACTTCATCACCATGTTATGGGATGCTGATTTTGCTCGACAGAACTCAGTGCCCGTACGATTCCTCTCAACTAAGTGGCCTTCAACTTCTAACTCTGTATAGACCTCGACCGAGATGGAAACCCTGACGCGATGCGCTTCCCTGCCTTTCATTCTGAGATTCTTGGGCAGAGACACTGGGATATAAGCGATACTAAAGGCCGGATCAGGGTCGTCATCGCTGAAGGATTCTCTCGTCCAAACCGGTCCCCTCCATTCGAGCGCTACAAGGATGTGATTGTCATGTCTTTTCAGCATGCACCCCTAGGCAAGTATTTTGTTTCCCATTGACAGAGGCTTTGTTGCTAACATGGATTGCAGATATTCTGGAGTTTTCCAACATCGCCTGGCCCAACCCTAAGATGTGGCTGCCATCGGGCAATGGACCTCGGTATTTTCCAGGAAATGGGTACGGTAACACCAAGAGACCCGATGACCCCCACGGACATTCTCCGAGCAAGCCCAACAGTACTACTGTCAACTCCAGCAGCCAGTCCAGCAGTAGCAATGCCGCAACTTACAACAGCAGCCACCACCAACCTGGCAATCCATCAAGCGTTGCGTGGACTCCTCACCGAGGTTTTCCCATCCCCTCTACGCAATGGACTGATTACCCACGGGGACCTCGCTGGGAAGGACAGGATACATACATTGTTGAGCCCGCTTTGGAAGCTTTTATCGACGACACTGCTTGGCGTCAACGCGGTGCCCGATCTTCTCGGGAAGATGTCCCAATGCCAGACTACGCCTCTAGCTCTACCAGCAGCCGTGCCATCTCGAGCATGACTGGCATCAGCTACGAGCACAGCAAACAGCCCAGCATAATCGCCGCCATGGATGATGAGCAGTACAGCGAGTTGATCCAGTCTCTCACCCCTACAAAGTTGCCAACCGTGGGCACCCGTGCACCCTCCAACACTCCCTCCGCCATAGTGGCCGCCGGAAAGCCGTCTGCTGCCGCCAAAGCACGCTCTGAAGGCTACGGTCGACTTACTCGTCGCACCTCTGCCCTCTGTGAAATCTCGCAGCCCAGCACCCGTGACGTCTCAGACTCAAGCATGCAGCCTGTTCACGAGAAGGATGTTGTTGACTTGCCAATCTCCAAGGTTGGGGCTAGTCCTAGTGAGAAGATCAAAAGCAAGAAGGAAGTCGTCCAGGAGGTTGTGAAGGAGGTGAAGGATGTCGACAATGTCACCAACCAGGAGACACCCAAGGCAAAGGATATCATGAGGAAAGTCAAGCTCGCAATCGACACTGAAGACGCTCATTTGGCTGATCAGGAGAATGAGGAGCTGGTGACTTAGCTTGGAGACGATCTGTCCGTCTATGATGACCATCCGGTCATCTGCATATCCTTGTATTCTTAGCTGATAGTGGATTCACCAAATGCCTCTTACTATTACTTCCTCATCCCAGGACACAGTGTTCCATGATCGTAACTTATCTACATATTCTTCAAGTACCAAATATCTGTTGACAAGATACCATCTCTACATCGCGAGGTTGACATGTCGGATATGAGCCCTTGGCCACAGAAAGACTACATATAGATATCAGTCGCCGCACTTCAAAGTTACTCTAGCATGATATTTCGAAAACTAGCTCTAAAGCCAGTACAAATAGTCCAAAGTTCGCCATTTTGATGGAGTATTTGTTGGCAGTCAGTGTGCACCTTGACGATCAAACGTGACTGTCCCAGAGCAATTCCCAATCAGGAAAGAGCAAGACTGTTTACATCTTCCTCTTGTTTTCTTTTTCCTCTTCCTTTCTATTCTTTCTTCCATCATTCATCCTTTATCTCCTCCTCCCCATTCACACGTGTTTCCATCAGCTTCATCAAGCTCATCATCAACACAGACTTGCCAGCCTGACCTCCACATGGCGGATTCCGCTCTGAACTTGGACATCTCCCAGACAGACGTCACGTCTGCCTCGGACATGTCCTTGCTTCTGGACTCGGGCATGGGCACTTCTGTTTCGTCTTCCTCCGCCTTGGTGTCTCCCACTCATCCTGTTTCTGTTTTGGGCTCTATTGCGGCCCCATCTACTGGGACCGTCTCTTCTGAGACTGTCGCCATAAACCCTGTCTCCCTCCCCTTGACTGAGACTCAAGCTCATCGGCCTCTTCTTTCAATCCCTGTCTTCGGTCTTCCCACTCCTTGCAGCTCTGCTTTGGGCAAAGTCCAGCCCGCAGTCGCCTTCTCTGAGGCACCTCTAGATGGGCCTTTTCCGTGGTCTGCTCGTGGCCCGAGCCGTTTTGGCAGTTTGAGGCATGATGCGAGTGCAATTGCAAGTTCTGTTGTTGAGAGTATTGAGCATCAGGGCATGGCCCATGAAGCCCCGCAGCTGATACAGTGTGACGGCCCAGCAGATGATGGTCCTGGTACGATGGACACACCTTCTGTCGGTCAACCATGTGCTGAGAATTTCGTCGGTCAGGAACGACAGGACCAGCAACAGCATTCCCCCGCTCACTCCATGCAGCCTCTGAACTCGTTCCCAGTGTCCAGAGAGACACTCACTTCCGTGCCACTGCCAGGCATAGATCTGTTGCGTGATCTTTCCATGGTTGATAACCAGGGAAACAAGGTGTCTATGGCCTCGACGCAGGCTCAGATATCCCAAGTTCATTCTCTACGGGTTGAAATCCAGGAAGCCGAGGCTCAAAAAATCCAGTCACACTTGCAACGATTTCATCGTGGATTTCAGCGAGGATTTCAGCGGTCATACAGCCAGCAGCCTGTGGTGACTCTTCCTGAGGACTTTGAGCTGGCCGTTGCCAGGATTTTTACGTCTGCTGGTCAACACCAACAACCTGCACTGGCCACAATTCCGGAGGTCCCATCGCTCTTTCAGCGGGTGCTGACTGGGCTGAATGCTCATGGGGCATCTCAGGATGAAAGCCAGATTCTCCCTCGCCCGGGCCAGCAGGAGCCCGGCTCAACCATCGGCCGTGATTACGCCTTGACTGAAAGTGAAGGGTACCTTGATTCAGGCCAGCAACAGCAGTTTGGCCTTGGTCTTAATGGCAGCTTCCCTTGGATCGACGATCGCGTGAACCAGCAGGGTTCAGGTCAGCCTGCCATGAACCAGCAGCCTCCATTTGATACCAACTCTGCCGGTGGCCCTGCTTTGACTAGTGGCCATGATACAGAGTTTGGTCCTCAGAACTCTCTGTCACAAAATTCTGACCTGGGTCTTTCTGCTGTTGTTTCTACTGACCTTTCTGCTAAGCTTTCTAATGATATGTCTACTGGCCTTTCTTCTGGTCGTCCGTTGATCTCGCCTCAAGACCAAGGGCGTCGAATTCTTCCTCCGAATCCAGTCGTCCATTTGCCGAGTTATTGCAGCCCTACTCTGACCAAGGGATGGCCTGTGGTTGTCTTTCCTCCTCCTCCTGCTATGTCTTCCTCTACTTCCGGTGCTTTAAACATGGATGATCCGGTTCCTTCGAGCCCTGAGGACTGCAAGTGGCGCCACAATGACCAACAGGAATACAACATGGCGTCGGGAGACTGGGATCGCAAGCCAACCCAAGGCTTTTTGGGCGCCGGGACATCGATCGATTCCGGTGCTCCAAGCGTAGCCCGTGACTCGGGGGTTGAGCAGGTTGCTTCAGGCGACCCTTTGGCTCGTTTAGGACGACGTGCCATCCTAGACATTACCAGCAGCTCCCTGAACAGGTACCCTAAGGATTCGGAGTGCCCTCCTGATCAAGTAAGTAGTATCGTTGACTGACTTTTTCATACAAGCACTAGACTGACAACCAATTTGAAGACTCTGGGGTCAATAGTTGTGAGCAGCTTGATGGACAACCAGGTGTTATTCGTCTTCAACATGTTTGACCTTATGGCCAATCTGCGGCCCCGATATGAATACAAGTACGGTGGCAAAAATGGAAAGAAGATTGGCGTCAGATTGACTTTGTGGGGGCACACCGTCCTGATTGCCCCGATGTCTGGGTCAATCCATGAAGCCAGGGTCAGTGCTTGTCGCGAAGCCCTTGAACAGTTGCGTGGATTCAACATGCTGTGGCAGCTCCCGCCTCAGCCAATGGATGGGCCCACAAGCCCTTCCTGGAACTGGGTTGAAGTGCTTGAAGGTAATCGTTTTTGGTCAACTGCTTTGAGCAATATCTAACAGTGGTTTTTCTCCAGCCTACCGCATGGTGCAGAAGTGGCCGGAACCCCGATATCTGCCGATCAGCGACGGCCGCACATGGCACTGTGATGTTCAGGTGGGCAAAAGGCTTTACCGCACCATGAAGCCAGTCCCAACGCTTGATGAGGCTCAAAACACGGTTGCTCATCTGGCAATGCATCAGATGATGGTTGACAGAGGTTATGATGATGATTTTTCCATCCTGCCGGCCGATAAATCGGTGACGGTGAGCGTACCGACCCAAAAGCAGATAGCCACGCCTCTGCATTCGAAGGGTGCCGATGCACTAAAGAATACAGGCACCACTGTTCAATATGCGGGTGTAACGAAGTCTACTGTCTTGCCCAAGTTCAGACGATCCAGAGGCAGGGGTTGTCGGTCTGGCTCTCAGTCTCAGAATAATGCTCAACATAATACCCAGGTTCGTTCAAATGTACCTAGAGCGGACAAGGCAAAGAACGGAAATTGCTCCGCTCTGATCCCGGCCAAAGCCAACTCAAACATGATCCCTGTGACTAACAGTCGATATGTACCTATCAAGGTACAAGAAGAGCCCGCCAATGATCCCTTGGCAACCCTGCGATCAATTGCGAAGGCTCTCGGCGAATTGGACAAAGAAGCTTCCTTCACGAGCGTCGTGAGAAGTAAGCACACCCAGCCCTTTCTAACCCATGACATTCACTGACATGTCTCTTTTTATGTCTAGTGATTTGTGACGCTTTGCATGCCAACGCACCCATTATGGTGGTCAACATGGTCCCAAAGAAGTTAAACAAGCTTGCCAACTCCTACGCAGTAGTCGCCTGTATTCATGGTGCCAACCCATACTTGAACCGGGCTAGCCCAATTCACCTGGCCTACGTTGTGAGCAAGGATAAAGAGGCTGCCAAGGCTATTGGGGTCAAGAAGCTGATTTTGTACATCCTGAAGATGGCAAAAGAAGACGCTGGTATCGAAGACGCTGAATATCCGAACGGAATGGGTGTCCTGCAAGCGCTGGAGGATGAGTGCGAGCAGTCACTGAACGCCTACAAGACCCAGGGCGAGTTCTTCCTCCTTTGAGAAAACACTACTGTTACCCTGATGATCGCCATAAGCCCGTATCATCTGTTACATGTTCTGTTCAAGACCTTTTCCCTGATATTTTCTGAGAGACGGATGCTGTCGTCACGAGTAAGATGTGTTCGATGCCCACAATCAGTGGCGCATGGCACAGGGTGCATGTTCCTTGTTTCGTCCGCGGTTTTGCTTGGAAAAAAAAAAATTTGGTATGGATAACGTCGTGATAGCAAATCATTTCTCCACTTCTTTCTTTTCATACATTTGTATAGTATGTGAGTTTAAGTAACGTTATACCTGAAGCCTCTTGAATTTCTGGACGGCTAGTCAGAGTACTGCTGTGAATACCCCTCTTCCTTGCAGTTTAAAACGTTATACTCGCTTCGAGGCTGCATTGCGTGTAGAGCCTTTCCAATAAAGCTACTTCAAGGGTAGCACTGTGCACAACACATTCATAACCCTCGTACTCATTACAACAGGATGATTTATAACGACATTTCCCAAAAAGGAAATATAGGGCTAGCACAACTTACTGTACACCCACCACCTAACCTTGGAATTTACAAAATAGCCGTTTACTGAAATAAATTTGCAGTAGAGACTCATGAACATTTCTGAAAAGAAACGAAATTACCATAACGCATAACAAACTCCTAGTCTGCTGGGGAATCTCCAAATCCAAGTCAATCACATCACAATTCCATCCACACACGCATACACACATCCCCAACACCTAGTTTGTCCTTTGTTTTCCATTCCAGGTCCCATTTACCAGGAAACATCCATGTCCATCTGCTAGACGCAGAGCCATCAGGGAGGGATTCTGGATTGGTTCTGATTGAGAACAAATGCAGGTAATGAAAGAAAAAGGCGGGAATCACAAGGCTTAGACTTTATTCAAGCCGGGAGTAGAGTAAGTGGATTTCCACTGCCAGTTACACTGGTAACAAAAGAGAAGAAAAGGAAGAGGAAGAGGAAAGAAAACGTCCGGCATTTGTTGCGAAGAATTTGAATGAGAAAGAGAGAGGCTGGGTGACAAGAAAAAGGAAAGCGTTTCAAATGATAGGATAAGAGTGCACTGGATCAGCCAAAAGGTACTGGACTTCATACTGAACTGAGTGAGAGTATCAACTTTGCCCATAGGGAGGACTCAACGAAGCAAGGAATTAAGTAACCACATCCACAAGTAATAATAATAATAATAATAGAAAGAAAGGAAGGAAGCCAAGAAAACTCGTAGGTCACAGTGCACTAATCTCGAATATAGAACGAGCTCCGGTCAGTCCAAGCGAGTCCCGTGGTATCGAGATGACTGGGAATTGCTGGGCTTTCCGGACGAGGGAGAGGATGGAAGAACTGCGATCAACAAGGTACGCCAACGCCAATCTCACCGAAGCACATGCGCAGAGAACACACATATCCAGGTAGTTGAGAGACAAGAAAGCAAAACAGGTCGAATATCCGCGCAAACGCACTAGAACAATGATCAAATGTACAAACAAGGGTATATCGGAGGTGAAGCACCTGAAGGACCGTTAAGACTTTTACACGTTCACAGGCTGTCGCCGGCGCCTGTCTCAACACCGTCGGCTGAGTATGATATGCTAGGATCGAAGCCAAAGCCGGTGGCATCGGCGTCGGTGTTGAGGAACGTATCGAAGTCAAAGTTCTCCAGAATGTCTGGGTTTTCCAGCGCGCTGAAGTCAAGGTTAAATGCGTGAGCCTATGCGAGGTCAGTGTCTGTTTTCCAAGCCAGTACCTGTCAAGACTTGTAAGAGCGCATACATCAGGAATACTCAGGTCAGTGAAAGGTTGCTGGGTTTGGTCAGGCGGCGGCTGAACCATAGGCGGAGGGGCAGGTGCCGAGGGCTGTCCCTGCCCAGCCCCATTCGCTCCGTTCTTGTTGAAGGAGTTGGGATGTTGAGGTGTGACAGGAGTTGATGGAGTCGGCGTTGGCGCAGTGTCTGCGGCTTCGGTGGAAGGAGTGGCACCTGCAGCTGCAGCTGCAGCGGCAGCCTTCTTGGTGGGCCGCTTGAGTTCAAGTTAGCAAATACACACAACTGAATAGCAAGGAGATACAAACCTTGCGGGTGTCCTTGGTGTCCTTCTTGCCCTTCGGTGCGGGCTTGTTAGACTGCTGGGGTGTAGGTGGGGCATTGCCAGCGGTCTGTGGGGATGCTGGCTGGCCACGACCAGCGTTGGGCCCTGTGACGGGTGGCGCGGAGGGCGGAGGCATTGCGCTTCGTTCCTGCGGGGTTCCAGCCTGAGGCTGGCCCGCAGGTGAATGCTGCATAGGCATCGGTTGTTGCCCTTGCGGCCATTGTCCACTAGGCATACGCTGGGCGTTAGCCGGAATGGGCTGACCCATTTGAGCTCCAGAGAAAGCAGGATTGGAACTGGGAGGTCGCATATTCGGCCCAGGGAAGAACTGAGCTGCCATTTCCGGTGGCATTTGACCGCCATTGAGGTTCATGGATCCGGGAGATCCACGCTGGGACATGTCGGCCGCGCTGGGCGAGCCAGGAAGTCCATTTTGAGGCATCTTGGGCGTGCCTCGTTTCATTTGGTCGCTGGGGTTAGGAGAAGCGCCCGCCCGACTGCCCGGAGAAGTGCCAGGTGGCAAACCTCCTTGACCGGGCATTGGGGGCTGGCCATCAGCACGGGCCATGCTATCCTGCTCTTGACGAGCCATCATCAGGCGCCGCTTATTCTGCTGTTCGAGCAGCATAAGCTGCATTTGATAATCTTGGAGTGCATGGTTACCATGCTGAGGGCCAGGTGTCTGCATACCAGGCCGAACCTGGGGGAGCTGACCGGTGGCGCCGTAGTAATCACCATTCATCTGATATAGTGCTTGGCCATCCGGCATCCCCACCATATCGGTCTGATTTGGCATAACACCGGGATTCATCATACCACCATTTGAGATACCCTGGGAATTTGATGCTGAGCGAAAGTGATGAAAGGCCAAGTTTTGAGCATATACCTGCATATTCTTCTGCTGCGCAGCCTGTCCTTGTTGCTGATACTGCTGGAATTGCGCCGGAGTCAACCCCCGCTGCATGCCATTTTGCAACATCATTGCCTGCGGATTGGGCTGCCCAGGCATTCCTTGTCCTTGTCCACGACCGTTCGGTGCGAGCTGTTGTCCGTTGACAGCGCCTTCGAGGCGGGGGCGTTTCGACGGCGAAGGAGCGTTGTCGGCAGACGCAGGTGACTGTGGCCGATGCCCAGCCATTTCCATGTCAGATTGGTCCCGTTGCATTTGCTGCATCATTTGCATTTGCTGGGTCTTTTGGAACTGTGCCATCTGTTGTTGCTGTTGCGAGCTACAGAAGATCAAGTTAGTACGGCGTCCACCCCCAATTCGACACCTGCCGTGGGGAAAAGTAGTGAGATAGAGCATACAGTCCAGAGGTGTTGTTCTGCAGCACTGTTTTCTGCAGGTTAGGTGGCACCATGCCATTCTGTCTGCGCAGCTGGTTCATTTGAGCAGGCATCATAGGTTGCTGTCTCATAAACTGATTATGTTGTTGTTCTCGCAGACGCATGAAGTTCTGGGGTTTGATCAGTTGGTGATGCGCATCTTTGGCAGAAAACATTCACACACCTGGTTATGCTGAAGATACTGTCGGACGTCATTGCTGTTGCCCTTCTTTCGTTGGGCCCAGAAGAAATCCCAGAAGAGGCTGAACCAGTCTAGCAAGAATGACGAGGGGCTTTCGCTGGGGAGACTTGGACGGGGGAGATCATCTGGGATCTTGATCTTCTCACCGTCCTTTCCATCAGTCATCATGGCATCTGGATCCATGCCATTCATGTCGCCATCACGCCGATTGCCAGGGCTGGTCTTAGGGTTGTTGTCGGTGTTGAGTTTGATGGATTCATCTTGCACAAGTGCGCGAGCGCAGTCGTGGTAGCCACGCTTCAAAAAGTAATCGTAAATGTACGTGTTGAGGTTATTGATCATGATGTCGGGATTATTCATAGTGCCGTCGTTACGGGAGGCCGTGGATCCGTTGTTTATCATAGGAACTCCACCAACTGGGACCCCAGCGCCGGGGTTCATTCCGACATTCATCTGGTTCATGGTGGCGAACGGTGGAACTGCAACCACCCTTGCCTGTGGTTTCGTGGAAGATCAAATCGAACGTAGGAAAGTTCCGACGCGCGACCACCGTCTCAGGCCAGTTAGCCTAACGCGGGGTTATGTAGGCGACGCGTGGGAATGGATGCGGAGGTGAAGCGGTGAACGCTTCCCAAGGACGAAGGCTCGCGGACTCAGCAACGCGTATACGTGGCTGCGCAAACCGGCTGGATATGAGATCGCAAAATGGGACGGAGGGCGATAAGTTTTCCGGGTCACTGGTGACACCTTATTCCAGAGTACCCACGCGACGGGATCGAAACGAGAGTATCGAGGGTCGAAGGCGCCGGCGATATGCTGGAGAAATTGATGAGCACTTTTCAGGGTATTAGAAGACTTCGAATGCCAAGTGCAGGAGCGGATGCGCGGTGTATAGGAAGTGGGCGATGACGGAGGTACAAGGAGGCGGAAACTGCGCACAGGCGAGGTGGTTGGTATGGGGGGGGCGGGCGCCAGTCAAGCCCGATCGGGCAGAATCGCAGGCAGGAGAACACCAAGCCAGGTACCAGAAAAGACAAACTCCCAAGGGCAAGAAAAGAGCAGATTAGGAATAGGGGCAGTCTTAAAGAGATGTGGATCTCACAGTGGGAAGGGAACGGATTGAGAGAGAGCCGGGGGTACTGCTCTGCGTTCTGCGGGAGAATCGCTTGTTCGGAGCGGATCAACCTGTTCGGAGGTCGGGGCTGGGGATGGCGCTGTCAAGCGTATTTCTGGGAATGCACCGCTCTGATAACCATTGAATGTGCAGTCTGCGCAGCTGAATGTAAATAATTAGAGAGAAAGATCAGAGCAGAGGAGTACAGTGAAGCAAAGACGTAGGAACGCAGAAAAGTCAGACTGGTGATATGATACCTGTGATGGGCCCAGCGATGGATCCCAGCGGGAGTCTAAAAAGTAGAGTAAGCCACTCTACACAAAAAGGAGATGAGAAGATCGGGCGATCCAGGAGATCCGAATAATTGATAGGACAATTGAAGCGAAAGCGATGGGAAGAGAAGAAAATTGATCTGTAGAGAAGTTGAGGGGCGATGGGTAATATATGACAGTACCTGACAGATACAGTGCTACTTACTTGGATTCTGGACAATAACAGTTATATGGTATAGACTGATTCTGCAGACATGGTAGCATGGCTGGCATATATTGACATTATTGCATTATACAAGTTATAATATGGTCACTTGTTAGCTATATAGGCAGGACATTGTTGTATATACAAAGTTGTCTGAATTTGGCTAGTAAAGTGGTACTGTATATTGTCCATTCTCCCTTACTATACTCCGTATATCAGAGGCATATAGATCACACTCTGGATAATAGTTTACGTATGTCTAGAAGACTTAAAAGCAGCGTTAGTAGCAAGTTATTAGGATATTGAGAGGATCATCGTCAGGTCACAGTTGTAATACAAACCCCAGAATAACAACATCAATACAATACAGCGTCATAACCTAATCGAGCTCTGATTGATCGACGTATAACTTATCAAAAGATCATGCAACTACATGTACACTACACTCGACCAACTCGACTGGTCGCAAGCCCCTGTCCTCTCTTAGGTTTAGAACCTTTCATTATGAAGAAGTGCCCCTGCCATGCTAGTAATAAATCGCGTGGCGGGGTGTTCAGAGATACATCATAAAGCCTAATTGCAGGTGTACAAGAAATAGAAGCAATAGGGGCCGGTGAACTCGGATCAATTCCCCCAATATGGCCAATGAAAAGAAACCCCTGGAACGCCCATGTAGGTGTTAATGCACAAGATCTCGCTTTTCACTCTTCTTCCGGCGGCATCTCATCTTCGATGTATCGTACAAGCGAGACCCGCATCTCCGTCGTCTCATCTCCGCGCAGCACGTCGCTAACAAAGTGTGCCTCGATCTGCATTTGAACCTGGTTTCCGGATCAGCCATCGGGTCCAGGACAGAGGAACCTAGTCCGGTTTGTGGGCTAAATGGAGTGCTTACCATTTCCAGTGACCCTCGGAGGACACCACATAGAATATTGGAGAACCACAGCTCATCTTGGGCCCGTCCATCATCGGGAAGTTCCACAAAGTCTGCCAAGGGGTTGTCTTCGAAGATAAGAGAGAACTGGTTGTTGTCGCTTGCCCAATTCGTGACCGTCGGTGTTACGTTTAGGAAGATCTTAAAGCCAACCTGATCGGAATGTCAGCCATGTCTCTGTAACTAGCTGGTATAGTGGCACCCACTTTCGCAATCATATCTGCTGTCTCTCTAAAGTTGGCGCATCGCCCGACACCTGACTTGGCCAGGAAGTCTTCGATCAGGCGCATTCCGATATTGTATCCCATCTTGTCCAACTGCTTATTAACCTCCTGGTAGTCGCTGTCGTAGTCCTGACATAATTGTGCAACGATCGTTCCGTAGGTTAATGTGACCAGCTCTGCGTTCACTTTATCGACTCTAGTTCTGCGAGGGAATAGCTGGTTAGCTTGGGTTCGAGGACGGAATGCAGTCGAGTAAATTGAGAATGGCTTCTCGGTTATTATAGGGGTTTGTGGGTTGACTGACTTCCATATTCTGCGTGGAATCCAATAATTAGCAGATATTCCAGATAAAGCATTGGAGTCTACTTACTCTTCTCCTATTCTTGAGGTTTTGTTGGCCGACATCTTGAGGGTCACGCTCCGAGAGCCTTCGGGTGTTGATAGAATAGGTGAATGAGAAGCACCCAAGTAAGCACAGATAAACGCGACAGTCAACAACTGATCAATGGTGATTGCGGGGGAGTCGGTGATTGTTGGAGAGGCTGATGTACACAATCCGCTCACCGCCGAGAGCGGGATTATCGTTCTTCCCGCAGCTTCTCATCGCCGTGGAACTTTTGCTCTCCACCACTCTTTAGGTTGCGATTGGTCCCCGATCCTTTTTTCTTACTTCTTGCATACCCCAAGGCGCGCTTGCGAAAATGTCCGGCGAGAAACGTCCGGCGCCCGAGGCCTTCGGGACCTCACACCAGCTCGTGGTCAAAAGAAACAAGGCCGACGCCGAACTCAACGCGGGAACCACACTGGTCAAGGGCTCGTCGCAAAATGGAGCTCTGGTTCAATCTGTATGCGCCATTGTTACACTAAAAGCTTGGAAGAAACAGTCAGCTAATCGGAGTCTGCAGGTACCTCGCACGAGCGGGTTAGATGCTCCCATTATGGAGCTCACAGGTGAGATACTTTTGTCAATTTAAGTGTATACATGCGCTGATAAGAGGGATGCTAGGTCACTCTGGTGAAGTCTTCACGGCACGATTCGACCCTACTGCTCAGCATATCGCATCCGGCTCGATGGACCGTTCCATCTGTATGTCTTGCCTTTGATCTCACATGGCTCAATTCAACCGTCGAATACATTACTGATCGAGATCTGTGAATAGTACTTTGGAACACATATGGACAATGCGAAAATTACGGCCAATTGACAGGCCACCGGGGAGCCGTGTTAGATCTCCAGTGGTCACGGGATTCCCGGTCACTGTTCTCGGCATCCGCAGATATGACTCTTGGAAGCTGGGATGTCGAGACAGGCGAGCGAGTACGTCGCCACATGGGCCACGAGGAAATCGTCAATTGCCTCGATATCAGCAAGAGAGGACAGGAGTTGCTAGTCAGTGGCAGTGACGATGGTTGCATCGGCATCTGGGATCCTCGACAGAAGGACGCTCTGGATTACCTCCAGACCGAGCTTCCCATTACCGCAGTAGCACTGTCCGAGGCAGGTAATGAGATTTACAGTGGAGGTATTGATAACACAATCCACGCCTGGGATCTTCGGAAGAAGGCTGTGGTCTACTCCATGGCTGGCCACACAGACACTATTACTTCGTTACAAATCTCGCCAGACTCGCAGACTCTGTTGTCTAATTCCCACGACTCAACTGTTCGCACATGGGACATTCGTCCCTTCGCCCCTACCAACCGGCAAGTGAAGACGTACGACGGCGCTCCTGTCGGGCTTGAGAAGAACCTCATTCGGGCCAGCTGGGACCCCAAGGGTGAGAAGATTGCTGCCGGTAGCGGTGATCGGAGTGTGGTTGTTTGGGAGGCCAAGACCGGGAAATTGCTGTACAAGCTTCCCGGTCACAAGGGCACTGTCAACGACGTACGCTTCTCTCCCAACGACGAGCCAATTAGTGAGTTATTCCGCTCTGTGTACTTGAACAATTTCTAACATGTCGCAGTTGTTTCGTGCTCGTCCGATCGGAACCTGATGCTTGGAGAGCTAGGCAAGTGAGCATAAGTGATAATAATGTTATAATGAAGATAAGCGGGCGTCAAATTCATCTTTTCAAACAGCTTGACATATAAATATTCTCGCCCAAGAGCCAGAAGACCAGCTAAGCAGGTCGATGGCTTCGAAGCCCTGTGAGTATGGCTGGGAACTGCAAAAAATAGCTAGGAAGTCACTGGCTTGGGTCCTCTATGGTCCGATGAATTGTACACTAAAATCTACTGTGACTTTGCTCCGTAGTAGACAGGTAAACTATATAAGAAAGTAGAAGCATATAGAGCGGAATGATGCAACGCGGCGCGGCAACAAAAGTTTCCCAAATTGGCTTATCTGGCCGTATCCAACACTCCACCTCACCCTTGAGTGACCGAGTTCTCTACTCCCTCAGGTCCTTAGAAGGCCCTCTCCCATCCATGATACCTGCACTTAGATCCCCGTGAAGCGCGACGGAGCTTACAGATGTCCTCCCTCCGCTCCGCCGGGAGGGTGGTGTTCTGGGCCATCCTCCTGTGGTTCACTGTCGCCCATGGTATGAGAGACAGCCAGGTAAAGGAGCTAAGGTAAGATGCCGTTGTTTTCGACTATTCTATCGTCTAAAGGCTAGACCACTAACTCCTGTGCTTATGTAGACAAGAAACGGAGCGCATGTTCTTCCACGGCTTCGAGAACTACTTGCAATACGCGTTCCCCGAAGACGAATTGCGCGCGCTGACCTGCGGTCCTCTGTTTCGCGACGAGAAGAATCCAGAGAATAACGATGTCTTGGGGAATTACTCCTTGACTTTGATTGACAGCTTGTCGTCGCTGGCAATCATCTCGTCGAGTCCGGACAGTGGTGAGCGTGCCTTGGCGCATTTCCAAAACGGTGTTCAGGACTTCGTTAGGCTATATGGCGATGGCTCGGACGGCCCTGCTGGTCAGGGTGAAAGGTCGAGAGGCTTTGATCTGGACAGTAAGGTGCAGTTATTTGAGACTGTGATTCGAGGGCTGGGTATGTTTCCCTCTACTACATAGCGGCCAGTATCGGCTGCGAGTCTTGTACTATCTTATACTAACATTTATGCAGGTGGATTGCTCAGCGCTCATCTTTTTGCCGTTGGCGAGCTGCCCATTACTGGATACGAACCCTCAGCACAGGAAGCCGCCTTCGCAAGCGCATGGGATAAAAGCGATTTTGGGAAGAAAGACCACGGCATTCGATGGGGAAATGGCTTTGTTTATGATGGCCAACTACTTCGGCTTGCGGTGGATTTGGCCCACCGTCTGCTCCCTGCGTTCTACACAGAGACCGGTCTGCCCTACCCCCGAGTCAACCTCCGACACGGAATACCGTTCTACGAAAATGCGCCTCTTAACTTGAATGGCCAGAGCAGCTCGCGCAAACGAAAACCTAAGTATACAGCAACGTCGGAGCCCGCTGAGACTTGTAGTGCTGGTGCGGGTAGTTTGGTCCTCGAACTTACCGTCCTGAGCCGCCTCACTGGTGATGGTCGGTACGAGGATCTGGGGAAAAGAGCATTCTGGGCGGTTTGGAGCCGCCGGAGTGATATTGGACTGCTTGGATTTGGCATTGATGTGGAGTCGGGGAAGTGGGTGGGACCATGGGCTGGTGTAAGGACTTCTATTCCTTCAAATGACAAACACGTACTGATTTTGGTAGATTGGCGCAGGTATTGACAGTTTCTATGAATATGCCGTCAAGGCTTATGTTCTCCTATCAGAGGGTCAACGTTTGCCATTCGATTCTGGAAGCCCCTGGGCAGCATTGGACTCATACTATGATCCTTTGACGGACTATCAGCACACAGCGGAAGCCTTCCGGCAGGTGTGGGAAGAATCCCACGCATCGATCAACCGCCATTTGTTCCGAGGCGAAGGATATCAACATCCCCATCTTATTGTAGGGGATGTGATCACTGGTGCCACACGAGCTTTCTGGATTGATAGCCTGAGCGCTTTCTATCCAGGAGTTCTCGCTTTGGATGGAAAGTTGGATGAAGCAATTCAGATTCACCTCCTGACCACCGCGATTTGGACTCGCTACTCGGGTATTCCTGAGCGGTGGAACGTGGCCACGGGTGACATTGACAACGGCATGCCGTGGTACGGAGGTCGGCCAGAGTTCATCGAATCTAACTATTACATTTACCGGGCAACTCAAGATCCCTGGTATTTGCATGTTGGCGAGATGGTCCTCAGCGACCTTAAGCGGCGATGCTGGACCAAGTGTGGCTGGGCTGGCATCCGAAACGTTCTGACTGGTGAACTTATTGATCGAATGGAGAGTTTTTTCATTGGTGAAACCGCCAAGTACCTCTTCCTGCTGTTTGACCAGGACCATCCGTTGAACAGGATTGATGCACCCTGGGTCTTCAATACTGAAGGACATCCTCTCATTATTCCTAAAAAGAAGGCATTGCCACCTCGCCAAGCTTCGCCGCCACCAGCAGGACAGGAGCTCGCAGAGGGAACATGTCAAATCATCCCTTCTCCTTTCTTCGGTGTATCATCCACTGCATCCCGCTCGGATATCTTCCATGCTGCCACTTTGGCTCGCTTGGATCTGATGCCCAATCGTGGGGGCGCCCAGGGTCCTATCTTGGAAGACTCATCCGAGCATCAAAGTGTATTTGCGTCCGATCTCTCCTCACCAACCAACTATACATTCTACCCATGGACACTTCCCCCTCAGCTGGTCCCCTTTGATGCCACTAGCGCCCCCATGGCCGTTCGACCCACACTCGACATCTCGTTCCCATCGCTTCCAGGTGGCGTAAACCTAGGATCTGGAGCACTGGAACGTGTCCGCGACGGGGTTCTCGTCAAAACAATCGGAGGGCTCCGTCTAAGTATGGTTCAGGATGTACCGCTAGAAGACCCAACACCCGCTGGACAAGACGCGGACGGGTACCGGGTGCAGGTGATCAATAATGTGCCACTAGGCAAAGATGAGAAGGTATATCTATCTCGCCAGATCACCTTTGATGTCGTCGATCCCTATGATCCGAACTTCACCCGGGTCCGCGACAACGCCATGCTAGACCTTGTCATTGACGTTCTTCCAGAGCCCGCTCGCCGACGCAATGATTCGACTCATCCGCGAGATGAGTATTCTGCGTCAGAACATCCACAGCCGCCAGAGTCCCACCTCGGAGACCACAGACCCGCCTCTTCTGTCGACGATGGCGCCATCATCGACTCCCCAGACTCAACTGTAAAGGCCATGCTATCATCTCTGGTGAACTCGGTTTCTTCGTTGCTTCGTGACGAGCCGACTGAGGCTGCACCGCTTCGATTGAGTCTTCCTGCTTCTATTGCTACGGGGGTTGGTTCAGGCCCGCTCCCGGACACCGAAGATGCCGTCATCATGTCAATACTTGGCAAAACATCTACCAGCCGTCTAACATGGTCAAGTATATACTTTGTTGATGAAATCTGTGACGAAAAGGTTCTGCGTGAGGTCGTTCAGAACCACGAGGTACTTGTTATCAAGCGTGGCGGTTGCACTTTTTCAGAAAAGCTACGCAACATCGCCGCGTACCGGCCAACACGGTCTGCACTGAAGCTCATTGTTGTTGTCTCATACGATGACGTCCCACCAGAAAGCGAGGAGAAGAAAGGGTCAAAATATCAATCTGACTTCTCCATCGCCGCTGTTCGTGCCGAGTCAACCCTCATCCGCCCACACCTCGACGAGGCGCAAATGACAGCTAGCGGTATCCCACGCAACCACCTCATCAGCATGGTTATGGTGGGCGGTGGAGATGAAACCTACCAACTTCTTCGCCATGCAGGCGGCATCGGTGTCAAGAGACGATACACCATGCGTTCTCAGGGCGTCCCAATCACGAATTTATACATTGTTTGAATGTACGCAAATATACCCTTTGAAGAAATGAAGACACTGGAATTATTGTGCATTTGCTTGGATGTACATAGGTCTATAAATCCGATTTAGCCAAGCTCGAACTCAGGAGAATGCAGCTACCTCAAAATTAACAAAATAACCACCAACTTCCCTTCCACCCAACAGTTCAAAGCCTCGACTTCTCCTCCATCTCAGCCTGAACCTTCCTCCAAGACTCAATCCCCCTCCTCGCAGCAGTTTCAACACTAACACTCCCATCCCTCAACCTCCGATCAAAAACCTCCATAGAAACCCACCCCTTGAACCCCATCTCAACAATCCAAGCCCTCGCAATCTCCCCAATGGGCAAATACCCCCCAAACTCGCTCTCGAACGGAAACGGGCGTGCATGTCTCGACCAGGTAAACTCCTTCGCTTCACCAGGCACAGCCCACGGATGCGTAACAGAATAAGGCGGATCAAAGCGCTCACCATCAGAGAGCTGAACGTAGAATAGCTTCTCGAGGGGACAATCCCGAACAAACCGACGCAATGAATCAGGTAACCTTTCTTCCGCGTACATCTGTTTCCCAGATGCAGAGGAAGGGTCACCCCATATCTTTGTTGCTTCATGGAAGGTATCCATGCACAGACCGAAATTGGGTCTGTTGACGCTGTTTACTAGATCTAGTGCCGATTCCCAGGTTGAGTGGTTCGTTCCCCAGGAGAGGGCTTCGTAGGCAATTGATACTGTCGGTTTGGTGGCGCTAGCTAGGTCGGCTAGGGCTTGCATTTCTGTGGTTATTACTGCTGCGTCACGGCTGCAGTCGTTTGTGAAGATTGAGGGGACTTGGAGGTACGGTGCTTTGAGGAGTCGGGCAATTTCGAGCCAGTGCTTTGCGAGTTGGAGTCTTGTTTCCAGGGGGGAGTTGGCGCCTTCGAAGTTCTCAAATGGGGCGAGGGAGAGGGCCTTAATGTTGTTTTTGTTGCAGATTTGGTTGATCTTTTGGGCTGCTGTATGGATGGGGATATTTTGGGATTTGCTGTATGTTTCTAGGTCTGAGTAGACGATCTCAATGCCGGAGTAGCCATGTTGGGCTGCGGCGCGGATTTTTTCGTCTAGTAGATGGCCTGCGTATAGGCTTAGGGAGACGCTGGCAATTGCTAGTTTGTTGAGTGCCATTATAGAGGTTGGAGATATCTTGGTAGGGTACAAGTGTTGAGGTTGTCTTGATATATCAAAATGAAGCGGAACTCGGTTTCCGAATAGTTCACAGCCCCGCAACGAAGTAGATCTCCAGTCTGTTCATATGCGATCTTTAATTGGCTGCAGGTCTCGGTGATCGATGACCGAATGTGCTCAAGCCTGGTGATCAATGATCTTCCTTGGGGGAAGTATGAGTCCGGGGTTTTCTTGGCTTCGGTTGTAACTATAACCCTCTGGTATTCTTCCTTTTCTTCAATCCTTTTAGACATGTTTATTGGCAGAAAGTGGCACATTTGTAATTCGTTTCATGGGACAGTTAGCAAGTATGATACTCTGATGTCAATCTTCACAATTGTTTTACAACAAAACACCTCAGCAAGTCCCATTAGCAAAGCTACTGCTTTTCGTTCTACAAGTTCAATAGCAATGGGCATCTCATAGCCGATCCGGCCATTCAGCCTCTCCTAGATCACGAGTAATTGTCACTACGAGTTTATCGGCTAATTTCACGCATGTAATGCGGGCACGTGGAGAAGATGGGAGACCCTGCCATGTCTTCCCAGACCATAATGAAAACCCCATCTTAGATTTCTCAAAATTTTGTTTTATCCATAGAAGGGGATCAGTGCCTAGATACTCATCCTCCAAACTGACACTATACTTATTCCGCACGCGGAGGGACGAATTCTCAACAAAGAGTGTACCGACAATCTCCAAGTTAGGCTCTTCTCGGGAAATCAGGTAGGTACTCTTGAAGACTTGCTTTGTCATGGATTGTCTTAAGCCATCTAGGGGGATGATTTGAAGCGCCATAAAGTCGTCTTCGTCTTCGTGCTCGGTGTTTTCGAGGTATTTGAGCTCTTCAATGTATTGTATCAACTCATTTCGTTCATGAAAGCTGATACTGATATGAGGGTCAATGTCAACAAGTCCTGCATATGGCATGCAGACCATTTCATGTGGCATGCACCAGGGATGTGTGAACCAACTATAAAAGACCTGACGTCTGGTCTTCAGGGATGAGTGCAAATGGGCGTATAGATCTTGCAGGTCAGCGCGAGGCATATTTATCAACTTTACCGATGGGCTTGGTGATAATGTCCATTATTTCCCATGGGAATTTAGCAAGTGGTTTAGATTTCATATAGAGAATAAGCGGAAAGCCGAAGTTGGGAAATTGGAAACTTGGTTGTCTTCTTTATAGCTGTGGTCCGATGCCACATCCAACGCTTAGTTCCATGATATTACTATGATATGAGTATTATGCACGTATATTTACCCTCAAATTGCTGCACCTCCAAGGAAAGAACACCGTGGACGTTCATATCCCCGCAATTGGAGTCCAAATCACCTCATACTTCACCCACTTTGCCTACTTCTCCCCTCCAACCTTCTGAATGCCACCAAAATAACCTGAACATCATCACCCAAATCCGAAACAATGCCCTCCAACTCATCCCAAACAAACCCACCCCCAACAGAAGCACACACATCAACAGCCCAAATCCCAACCCCAACCCTCCGCAAACAAATACACCAAAAACCAAAATACCTCTACTTCGCCTACGGCTCAAACCTCTCCCCAACACAGATGAAATCCCGCTGCCAGATAGACCCAGAAACGTCCTCAACCCCGCTAGCAATAGCAACTCTCCCACACTGGCGCTGGCTCATCTGTGAAGCCGGATACGCAAACGTCCTCCCACCACGTGGACTGCGCGTCCCGAGTCAGGATACCGATATCGCGCATGAAATCACTGTTTCGAGCAGTGTGGATTTGGTTTATGGGGTTCTTTATGCTATGGATATTGGGGATGAGGGGATTTTGGATATGTATGAGGGGGTTGATTCCTCTGCTGGGGATTCAGAGGGGGATTGGGTTGGGGTTGATGTGAGGCCGAGGGAGCAGGCGGATGGGTCTTATAATAAGTGGTTTGTTGAGGCGGAGGTTGTTAGGTGGTTAGATGAGGATGGGCATGGGCATGGGCAGGGGACGGGAAAGGTGCCCGTTTTGGTATATGTGGATGAGAAGTGTGTTCGGGTTGCTAAGCCTAAGTTTGAATACATTGCTAGGATGAATAGGGCTATTCGGGAGTCGGTGGAGTTAGGAGTTCCACAGCGGTGGGTGGATGAGGTTATGAGGAAGTTCATTCCTATGGGTGACAATGGATTGGATATTTGAATATCAAGTGGATAGATGTTAGTTACATAGACTAGACATGATGTCTGTACACATATCAAGTTGCATTCACGCTATTCTATATGGTATCCGATATGCGGTGCTCCAACGTCGACCAGCGAAAGGAGGCTCCGAGCATCGCCTGATCTCCAGACTCGAATACCTGTGGTTGGTTGGCCCGTAGCGGGGACGCGCCGTTCACCGCAAGATCGGGTGCGGTCGGGCTTTTGGAGGGGTCATTATTGTCGGCAATTCCGGTCGTCAAATAAAGATTTTTTGGAGGGCTGAGATGGCGTTAAAGATTAAGCCTGGCCAGAGAGGAGGGTGTACACAGGCGCGGGGAGCTTGTCACGGCCGTGGAGGAACTCGAGCTCGAGGAGGAAGATGAAGCCGAGGAGGTCTCCTCCCATCTTCTTGATCAGCTCACCACCGGCGTAGGCGGAACCACCTGTGGATCCATTAGTATTGCTGTACAATAGGTATAGCGCGCATCACATACCGGTAGCGATAATGTCATCAATCACAAGAACCTTCTGGCCGGGCTTGATGGAGTCGGCCTGCATCTGGAAGAAATCCTGACCATACTCCTTCTCGTAGCCCTGGGTCTCGCAAGGACCGGGGAGCTTGCCCTGCTTGCGCACGGGGACGAAGCTGGCACCAAGGCGCAGCGCCAGGCTGGGGCCCATGAGGAAGCCGCGGGCCTCCAGACCGACGATGACATCGGGCTTCTGGTCGTAATTGGCGCGAATGTGAAGTTCCAGGGAGCGGATGAGGGCCTCGTGGAGAGAAGGATCGGCGAAGATAGGCAGGATATCCTCGAACAGAATGCCCGGAGAAGGGAAGTCCGGGAACTGGCGCAGGGCACCGCGCAGTCTTACCGTAAGACTGGCGAGTTCGGCGGCGCTGGAGGCATCGGAGGCGGGGAGTCCGACTTGGGAGGCATTAGGGAGAGTAGAGGACATGATGAAAGGAAGAGAAGGAGGGGGGGAAAGACGTGATGGGG